TGTGTCATACTAAGATCGAGCTCTATAAGATGAGTTAATTTAATGAATGTAGACGAATATTGCTAATCTTTTTTGTGATTGAAAATTAAGCACAGTAAATGTTTGCAGAGAAGGAAAATTTTGAAAAAGAATTTTTTTAAAATTTATGTTCAAATAGATGTTCATCAATTATTAACAACAATAGAACTTTATCAAATATTTCATCTTGAAAACTGTTAGTCAGATGACGAAAAATATCGAATTTATATGAAGTCGAATAGATATGATATCTGCTGACATTGCTCATAAGTTTCTCATCGACATGAACCAACCTGTTGCTATTCTGTTTTATTGAAATTACGTTTAATGTTGTCGTTCGATTGAAGATCAATTGCATCAGATCTATTGAACACACCAGTGTTTATGCTGAATATAAATTTGTTTAGTCGTAGCATATGAATATCATCAATATATAATTTGAATCAATTTTTTCTATCCGAATAAATAATGCTAATTTTTACAAGATTTGATATTCGACATAATAATGGAATTATTCCATTTTTATAAAATTGAATATAACAATTAGAGATCACCGAGAAAAATTTCAATTTGAGAAGTTTTTTTCCATACAGCAAAAAGAAATAATCAATATATTTCAAGAAAAAATTTTCTATGAATACAATCATCGAATTTATAGTTACTGTATTATTATCTATATTTCAAGATGAATCGAAAATTTCAAATATATAGAATAATCAATGTAGACAAACATGAGAGACGACCATTTAGAAGATAAAGACAATCATCAAAAATATTTACACTAATATTTAACTTAGAATTGAAGATACACAACTTGTTGATGTTATATTTAATATTGGAATTGTTAAGTTTCTATCAGAAAACGATTGACGATAAATCAAAATTATTAGACATTTACTCAAAAATAATATTAATTCAAACATATATGATTAATTTTCATTAGATAATTCTCTTATGGCTTCATCTTTGATTTGGACATAAAGATTTGTAATTTGATTAGTACGAAGACGAACAAGTATTCTATCACCTTAAATGTACAAAAACAAAATCATAATTAGTTCATTTATAACAATTAGATATGAAGAAGATGGTCTCAGTTCGAGTCTCCTCGAGATCGAGACCATGTTTTTTTTGTTTGTTTGATCGGAACAAAAAATGATAGGCCCCGCTCATCATTAGTAACGATGACTTCAATATTTGCTGTGACAATTTTGATAGGAAAATTAGTTCTTGTTTTTCGTCAGCAACACTTTTCGAACACAAACATGAAGAATAGACGAATTAGTAAATGAAAAAAATGTAATGAATTTCCAAGAGAAATAATATTAGAGGTTATGCAAAATAATACTAATTGATCAAATTATTAATTAACATTCACAAGTGCATTGAGCATATCTATATGTCTCAATCTTTTCTTTTCTCCATTCATTCAATGCGTCTACATGATCTCCTCATTGTTGGTCGTGAAAACAAAGAAGTATAATACATGATTCTCGTCATATCAGACAATGATGAATGGTTGATGCTATTTTTTTATTCTCGTACATGGTCTATCAATTCATAAAATCATCAATCGAATATGTGCTTCTACATGATAGATTATTATACTTAAAATAAATTGACATGAAACATTTTAAATATTACAAATCTATAAAACAATGTTACTGATATACTCGCTGGTCCTGATGTGTGTTCTACAAAAGTCAATTTTTAATGGAAAAATCGATTTTTTTGTTTTTGAATGATAAATATGTGACTGATGATAATAAAGTCTTTCAATAATAACTAGCAAACTTATAAAATATTGATGTTTTGGTAGTTCTGAGAGAGGTTTCTATCACCCTAATTTACGAAGTATTGAAAACTAGATTCAACATGAATACGACCGATTCTCTTACAGGTTTTCGATGAAGATCAATTGGATGTATGTATCAAAATATGTTCGCCATTGAATAATATCACGTTATGGGAACAGGAGGCGCACAGAAATAGAAAAAGCTTGCTATGTGTAAGTTTTTTTCTGAAGTAAATCACAATGCTAATATATATCTTCTCTCACTCTGATGTTCGAATTTGTTGGATAGTATATCTCAAATGAAAAGCTCGAAAACGAAATAATCAAAACATATATCGAAATAGTTTGGATAAAATCATCAAGAGACATCTAATCGACACTCTTATAACGTGCGCATAGTTCTTGAAGCCAGCAAGACAATGAGGTCGCATAATTAGAATTTCAAATTTCACTATCTTATTTGTTTTGAAAAATTCTCTGTAGTGACCTTTCATGATACTAATTCTATTTTACTTTAACTGACAATTAGTCATTTTTCGACAAACTCAACCGTGTTTTTTCGATTTATTTCTACGATTCTGCTCGAATCAAACTTATTTATTCGTTTTTTTTTGTTCGAAAGCTGAGAACTATGCCAAGTGCGCTACATTGGCCGATTCTTTTATTTTTATTACTCTTTCGAAGACATTTGGTGAAGTACATTAATTGACATGTTCTGATGGTGAGAATGTTCCTTGTCTTGTTGTGAATGTGAACATATAATCAAATATCGGGCAATGTAACACACTTTTTTACGTCAGTTATTTTCATTTTAATATCAGTTCGAACTTTATTGGTAAAATCCTTTGGAGGGAAAAACGAAAAATATGAACTGTCCCAATCTAGAAGATGATTCACTTATATATCCCATTCATTTCAATATTTTCTGGAATTTGAAATTTTTAGTCTCAAGATGTTTATCAGAAGATTATTCTCTGGAAATTTCAGTACACTCGGATCAAATGGAGAAATAATGAATTCCTCAGACATATCGAGACCTTTATACTTAATGAAAAATTGTAAAAACATAAAGAAGCGACTATCTATAGATTATGTTCATCGAAAAACTTGTCATAAATATCTAAATTAAGTGGAATTAAATAAAAAAAAAAAAAGACAACAATATCGAATTTCATTTACTATATTAAAATTATTCTTATAAGACGATACTTTTCTAAGACTTTAATTTTTTGAATATTTGTTACTATAATGATCATATAAAAACTAACTTTCGTTTCATATTGTTTTCCTCATCTTTTTTTTTTTATTCATAATAAATAAAACAATAATCTAAGTAATTTCAATAGAAATAAGAATAAAATGAAATCTTTTATTATCCTCTTCATCATTCGTTGATTCAAATGTAATTAAATCAATATTATTCCAATCAAGTTGAACTAATGTCGATTTTTTAATAAATAATTTAATTTTTTTCTTAAATAATTTTACATTTGATTTAAATCCAAAAATAAATATTTCTAAATTATCTACTGATGCTGCTTGTACTTCAATTGTATGTACCATAAATGTTGAATCATTATCTGATAATGAACCAATTAACATCGATTTTCCACATGAATTTAGGGCAATATAAGGTGAATGATGTTTTTCTGTTTCATTTTGAAATATATATTGATAACCTGTATCTTTACATTTAATATGTTGAAGTGCATGATTCATATGCATATATGATACATTATGCCAACGAAGATTTGAATAACCATTTGTTATATCACCAAGATTATGTGTAGCTGATATTTTCTCATTTAAATCAGCAAATGTAATTAAATGACGTATACGTTGTTGTGAAATTTCATTTTTAAGTTTTTCTCGAAATTTTCCTCGTATTTGTGCTCCTTGAAATGGTAGTTGAAGTAATGGAAATGGTGCTTGTTGTTCTTTTATATGTATAATATGTAAATTTTCAGCAGGTGATAAATGTGAAATAATTTGAAAAAAAGTTCCAGGTAATAAAAGAATTTCTTCTTCATGTTTAAAATATGAATGTGAACGAATTCGACGACCAGTTTGAGTTTCAATTGAAAAAAGTGTTCGTGTTCCTATTTTACCCAAATATAATGGAGATTCAAGAATTTTTAATGATAATGTACATGAACTTAATGCCCACCATGCTTGTTCATTTGTTGTTAAATATTGAGATGATAAATCACCACGAACACCACGCCAAACAACACCTTCAACAGATGGTAATTTAAAAAGAGCTGTTAAAAATAATTTTAAATAACGAAACCATGGTTTTAATTCTTGACGATTAACACTACGTAATGTTCGATTAAGTTTAACATAAAGACTTTGTTGACTATCAGGCCATTCCATAGTATAAAGATGAATTGAAGCAGATTCATCTTTAGTTAAATCATCTTCAGGATTTTGACAATTACATTTTGATATCCAAATATATTGTGGAAGATCATTAATTAAAGAATAAAGTGATTCACAAGCTTCTTCTAAACAAAGTAATGGTTCTCGTTCATAACCAGCTATTGGTTGTAAGATATTTGATGGTTCATCTTGTATATTAGTCAAAAATCGAGGATTAGGATTTTCCATTTTTAAAATTTTTACTTCACTGAAATAAACTATTTTACTTTCTTTTTTTTTTTTGTTGCGTTTAGTAGAACATGACAGAAGAAAAATAAATTAGAAAAAAACAATGTTTCCGTCAACGTAGGAAAAAAAGATCTAAAAAAAAACGAGTACACTCTAAGTATGACGGCAAAATAAAGAAAATGCTGTTCCACTTTTCTTTCGTTCTCTTAGAATTTAATATCAACAAAGTTTTTGTGTGTTTTTTTTTTCTTTCCTAATAATGTGTCACATGAACTAAATAGTTTTTTCTTTCACGGAAGGAATCATCAGTTTCTTGTAAACAAGAAAAAACGAAAGATGAATTTATTATTAAATCGTTCGAAATAAAGAATTTCATTAAACAATTGTGATTTGTCTTGTTCTTTTAAATCATTGTTGTACATCGTTAAGACATAGTGTTAACGTACAACATATCGATTTTCTACTTGTTTTAACTCGAATTGTTGTTGAACAAAGGATTAGTCATAAGATTGTAACGTTTAGTCCAACTAGAAGCAATTATTCAATTAAACAAACAATTACATTTGACTGACGACAAATGTCATGTAAAACATTCATTTTATCGATGTATTTGTCTTTGATCTATCTTTTTCTTATTTTAGTAAATTCAAATTTAGCAGGTAAAATTATGTTTATTGTGATAAGAAAAAGAAATAATTTTGCTTTTAAATTAAAAGAGTAAAACAGATTGAACATTGAAAAAAGAATATAAATAATTACGAAAAATAACTATATTTAATAAATTAAATATAGACTAAAATTTTCAATTTTAATTTTATCTAGAATTATCTTTATTTTTCTCTAGATTTGTTTCTTGATTAGAGTTTAATTGATTTAAGAATATTGTTCGAAAAATGGCAGACAATAATTATTTTTCATTCTCTAATCAATAATCATTGTTTACTTGTTCGAATTATATAAAATAGTTTATCGATTATTTTATTAATTATTTGTATATAATCAGCAATTTTGTACCTGTTTGTGTTAAATTTTTAAAATTATGCTTAGAAAAAATATCTGTCATTGAGAAAAACTTCATTTTTTGTTGCAAACTATTCTTAAAGATGAAAATTTATTTGTTCATTTTCACATGTTAGACAAGTTTTATTCAAATTTTTGAAGTTCATTATGGTTTTTGTTAAGTCATTTTTTGTTAAGTTGATATGCCGACATAATGTCTTATGACACGGATCGAATGAAATATAGCTATTGAATTCTTATATAGAGTTCCGTATAAGAATTTGAAGCCCGATTTTGAATTCAACATGAGAGTGATTGAGAAGAATATTTTTCGGAGTTAAGGTTGAAGTTACGTCGATAAAATATACAAGTTTTTTTTACTGTTATATAGTAACAAATCTATTCTTCATATGCTAAATAGCGAACAGAAACATATTACTTTGTGGTTTCATAAGGTTCAAGAAAAAAAAAAGGAAATAACATCGGAGAGATATTTACATTAGCAAACAGCAGGAAAAGAAGTAAATATTCTAATCGAAAAATCTTGCTCGATTATTAGAGTTGTTGAAATCATCTTCGACATAAAATTATTGTTGTGTAGAAATTGCGCAAGATGACTATTTAGACGTTGTTTTCGTTGCAGATAACATTCATATAACTCTTTTTCTATTTTCATCATTGATTAGTTGTCTCAAAATATTAAGATTTTTCTTTGAAAACAATAATTGATTGTTCTTTTCTCAATAATAATATATTTTGATGACAAAAAAAACTTTTCGGAATTTACCAAAATTGTCATCAAAACTGGATAGAAAATGCTGAAGAATTCGAAGTTGAAGTCAAAAAGTTTGACTCCGTAAGGCACTACTCTTATGATGTTATATTCGCAGTCTTATTGCATTTGTACAAACAGTATTAGAATGACTGTTATTTTTCAATTTTCTTTTACTATGAGGTAATAGGCCACCACTTCAGCTCATATGCAGTTTTCTTAGCTCTCTATTAATGATAGGGTCTAAAGAAGACATACTGTTGATTACAAATAATTTATAAAGAACTAAAGTAAAATACAAACAGAGAGAACATAAAACAACGAGTACAGATAAAATTAGTCATCAGTAATAGTTTGCAGTGTCGAACCATTCTCTTGGAATACAAGAAGAATGTACAGATTATTAACAAACGAGTTGCTTGAAACACTTAGAGCAGACCGAAATTGTATAAACATGATGCTAATTCTCAAGAAATGAACACTATCATTCCATCATTTCAACTAATAGGTCATCATTTATTTGTATCATTGGTAGTTTGTTTTAATCTATAAGAGAACATAGTCGATTATGACTCTTTCATCATAGAAGATAATCATTCATGTAAAGCCAATGTTGACTTATTGTAAAATTTATATTAATTATTTGTTTCGAAATGACTAATATTATTTTATTTCTTGTTAAGTAAAATACAGTCGAGTATGTTATTTTACAAATTGGGGTGTTCATCGATCGATGAAAGAAGCACGTCTTCGTCCCGAAGATATTCCAGCTGATTTATGTACACATATATTTTATGCATTTGCTAGTATTGGAGGCTTAACATTACAAGCAAAACATCCAAATGATTTAAATGCTTATCAAGGAGAACAGGTTGAAATATTTTTAAAAATTAATCGTTGAAATATTTTTCCTTTTTTCCATGTTTTTTTAGCCACTTTATCCTCGAATTATGAAATTAAAAGAAAAAAATCCTGATTTAAAAATATTAATTTCTTGTGGAGGATGGGGAAATTCGGGTGAATTCGATTCTCTTGCTTCATCAGAATCATCACGGTAAAATATTTCTTTTTTGTTTTTGTTTTAATGAAATTAAACTAATTTTTTGTCATATTATCAAGAGAAACATTTAGTAAAAATGCAATAGCATTTTGTCGTCAACATGGTTTTGATGGTGTTGATTTAGATTGGGAATTTCCAACGGCTAATAATCGTGAAAATTTTGGATTATTAACAAGAGTAATAAAAGAAGAAAAAAAAAAAGAAATCGAATGATTTTTTATGTTTTTCTTTTCTTTGTTTTTTAATTTAGACAATGCATATAGCTTTCAAAAAAGAAGCAAAAAAATCCAAAAAAGATCGTTTATTACTCAGTCTAGCTGTAGCTGCTGGAGAAGTTTTAGTTAAACAAGGTTATGATGTACCAGTTCTTTGCAAGTAAATATAAAACAAAATATTTAATTGAAATAGTTTTAATTTTATTTAGTTATGTCGATATGATTAATGTTATGACATATGATTTGTATGGTTCATGGACTGGTAAAATTGGTCATCATAGTGCATTATTTCATCGACGTGGAGAAAAAGGCGTGGAAAGAGATTTAAATACGGTTCGTTTAAACGAGAAAAAAAACTCTATTTTTCTATTAGGTGAATGTCTCGTATTGATAGAACTGAAATAGGATCTTCGTGAAGAAATGATTTGTTAAATTTATCTTTAAAAAAAAATTTCATACAATGATTAGAACAATGAATGAAGATTCTTTGAATGACTAACGGATATTTCAGAAATGAATGAATCTTTCTTTCATATTCAGCTATTAACACAATAATGATGTCAGAACAATTTAACCTGTACGATCGATATATTAAGTATTGATCACTGAATAGTCTAGATTTAAATCTCGAATAATTTAATTTTAGTGGGATTTTCTACTTATACCATTTGAAAAAAGTTACCATAAAAAAAATATTCTTATTAAACAACTGAAATATGCATTCAAAAGAATTTCGATAAAAAATGCTTTTCGAAGATTATTTTTTTAACTTTGATTATTAACTTAAAGAATGTCTTGAAAAATAATTGATTTTATTTAGGTAAATAACAGATATACTATTTCATAGAGGATTCAAAGACGAAAAACATCAGTTAGTTTGAGATTCACACAAGGAGATCTGTATTTTAGTTGTGTTTGTTGTACTTTAGAAATTCAATTAGTTTAAATAATATATCGTACGAAAATAGACCGTATTCTTTCGTAAGTAGTTCTGATGATCGTATAGAGTTGTATATATGCTGTATACTCAATAAGAATGACCGTAAAATCCTGGCCTGGTTTATGGTAAACTAAGGTGCGTAAACGTACTCTTATTACTTGATTAAGGTTCTTTAAAGTGACATGAGTTTCTAAAAATATTTTTTGTTGTTGTTGTTGTTACTATTCGTTTAAGAAAATGAAACACTATAGAAGATTAACAGTTTCCTATTCTTAGAGCAGTTTTATTCTACATTTTAAGGTAAATTTACGAATTCTTTCATTCAAGGAAAAAATCTTCACATCTGTTAATATATTATGACAAATTGTTCTGTTATGTTAGAATATTTTTATTTAGAATAGTTCAATGTATAATTGGATAAAAGCAGGTTGTCCACGTGATCGTCTTATTATTGGTATACCTGGTTATGGTCGAGCTTTTACTGCTCCGGGAAATGATCCAGTAAAATCATATGGTGAAGCTGGTAGTGTCAGTTCAATATCATCACCTTATTTAGGTGAAAGTGGTTTACTTGCTTTTTATGAAGTAAGATATTTTTCATATCTATATTTGTTTTTTAAATAATAAAATAAATAATTTTCTAAGATATGTAAAAAAGAACTAAGCGAAGGTTTTAAACGTTATTGGCATAAAGAACATGAAATTTCAATTAGTTTTAAAGATGGAATATGGATTGGTTACGATGATCCAGATAGTGTTAGAAATAAAGTAAAATAAATCCTTAGTTTTAGTTTTAATAAAATTTTATTTTGATTTATTTTTAAAGTGTGAATATGTAAAACGTGAAAGTTTTGCTGGTGCTATGATTTGGGCATTAGATATGGATGATTTTAGTGGAAAATTTTGTCAAAAAAATCGTAAAAGACGATTAAAACGTTTTCCTCTAGTTAATGCAATGAAAGAAGTATTTGAAAAAGTTGAAATAACAACACAAATGACAACATTACCTATTCAAACAACAACATTAACAAATGAAACTATTTTATTAAATGAAGAATTTCAAATTCTTTTAGATCAAATGTTTGAAGAAGCTTTATCATCATCATCAACATTATTTCAATCTTATTTTGTTCTTCTTTATATATTTATTATTAACTATTTCATAGAATCATAGTGTATAATTTCATCTTCTTATAATAAATATGACCGGTTTAAGTTTATGTGTTTCTTTTTTTCATTTATTTTTTTCTGGGCAAATACTGAAATCAAGAATTTTAAGTTTGTTGCAAGGTGAATTTTATTGATTAATATCGTCGGAAGAAATTAATCATTTTTTGTAGTTTTCGATAGTGTTTAGTTAAAATTTATTTTGTCAAAATTATCTATCCGTTTGTGTTAGATTAAAATTGACTGATTTCACTTTGAGAAGATCAAATATAACTGAAAAATATGATTGACTTCTGTATATTTATTTGTGGTTCTAACAAATATATTCATCGATTGAATTCGTTGCTTACTATAATTTTCCACCATTTATTTTTATTAATTCAATTTAAATAATGAATAATAGTATTGATGAAAATCTTGTTAATTTCGTATTTTTCATCACAGATCGTATTTTTACAATGACTGTAATCCAGACTATTTAGTGAAGCATGATCTAAAAGGAATGTTGAAGAATAGAGGTAAAAATCCCTCACAGATAACTTACCAACGAGTCGTCACATGCCGTGACAGATGTCTTCAAGGTTATCGATATTGTGTGAAGATGGAAGAGATGCACTAAATTTATGGTATAAAAAGTTTTCACCTTCAGAGTGCTAATAGTAGTGACCGAGGTTGGAAGGAGCGAAACTCACCTTAACCTGACTATTCGCACAATAGACGATCTGCCACCAGGTCTTCTCTTTCCTATGCCCTGTCGCAATCATATTTATCTCACAACGACATTGTGTGCTTATTTTTGTTTTACTTTCTACCAGAAAAAAGGCAAATGGTGCTTCAAAATCTGGTTTGTGACTAAAGTTATCACGAAGCTATAAAAGATTGGCAGAAAGTATCAAGAAATTCCGCAGAAAATATTAAACATTTTAGCAGAAAGTCAAACGTTTTACTGAAGAGGAGAGAGAGAAAGTCCGTCTACACTTATCCTCCCCTACTCAAGAACTTTGGACATTTTCGAAACACTGCTTCCCACGTCATAGTCCACGATAGACCACTTAGTGATACTTTCTCCAGCATCACAGACTGTGACACACACTTTGTTATAATATATAGACTAATTCTTTATTGCATTTCTGAAGAATTGAGTAAAAGAATGATGAAGAAATGTGTTCCTAAATCGATAGAATAAAACAATCTTTCTGTGATTAGCAACAACAGCTGCATCATATTTTTCTTTCAATCCCGCAGGGATTATACTAACAGGTTTCTTTAACAATGAAAGATAATCATTCTTATTTTTCTATTGTGTAACACAATAGTTAATACATATTGTCATTTCGTCTTATTATATTTCTGATCTATTTTTAATTATGAAGTGCAACAACTGACAAATCGAAAGATATATTCCAAGAGGACAATGACAAGCCATATAAGTTTTGGCTTGAGAAGTTTCAACTAACTCTTTTAGAATCTAATAAATTCTTGTAGATCTGCGAAGTAATATAAAATCTTATGAAAAGATTTCATTAAAATATTTATCTAAATTCAATTGTTTTTTTCTTTGAATGCAATAATTTCATTTTTATTAATTATTTATTTATTTTTCAAAGTAATACATGTATAAATTAATGATGAGGCAAATTTGCTTCAATTACATGAATATTATGTACCACTTCATTTTGTTCGTCTCGATTGACATGCGAGTTTTTTCCAGAAATTTCGTTATCAACTTTACTTTGTGAAATCACGTTGAAACTTCGTTTTTTACGCATATGTAAATCTGCAATGTTTCCACTGTGTACAGCTACAAATGGTTTTTCATTATTTGTTAATTCATCATCATCAGCGTCACGTTTATTAATCGATCGTTTGCTTAATACTTTTTTGCAATTACATGTATTTGGTTCAAGATATTCACCATTATTATAATTACAAATTTTATTACCACAATCACACAAATTTCCACTATTTTTTGATGGACAATCAACAGCAGGAACATTATCTAAATCGAAACAATTAATTTTAATATATAAATAAAATTATACAATTAAAACATTACTCGGTACATATGGAGTTTTATAATTATCTTGATATTGTGAATGAAGATAGTTACATGTTAAATAACGTTCAATGCGATCAGGAAATAGACAATGTGTATGAGCACAACCAACACGTGTCATATTACTTAACATTGCTTGTGTATAATGTAAACATGTACCTGGATCTGGAGAACATCCTTCACCATATTTGAAATTGGATTTTTCACTACCAAGCATCATATCTAATAGACTAGCTAAAGAACTACGAATTTCACTTGACACAACCATATTTTGTCCATTTTTCCATCCAAATTTTGGACTTAAACGATTTCCAGCTAGATCATGATCAAAAGCACACATATCAGAATGAGCTTGAGCAAGCTGAGCTAATTCATCATCCCAATAGAGTTTGAACATGTATCTCGATGGAACAGCTGCACGATATTCATTATGTTTATCAAGAAGTTGTTGTTTTTCAGTTTCATTTATTTTAACTGGAATTGCAAAATCACTTGGTCCAAAGCTAAATAAAAATAAATAAAACATTTCAAATTGAAACAAGAAAGTTTTTAATTATTAATCTACTTTATCATTGAGATTTTTTTTTTTGAAAATTAAAGAATCTATTTGTTTGTCAACAAAAAGCGAACATTTTCTGTTTATGGTTGTTTCTCATTCTCGAAATGAATACTACCGAAAAGAAAGATCGTCGAATGAGTTTCAATTATCTGTATTCGTGAGTTTTATTTCGGTGACCATTCCTTACGTTCACTTTTTCTGAATATTTATCATATATTTATCCTGTCGGTATTATCTCAGAATATCACTAATAGCTTTGATCATCGAAATGAAGATCATTGAAAACAGCTGCCGTCGATGGTCACAGCGCCGAAATGGATATTACCGAATTTCAACAACGTGACTTTCACCAAAGAGCACATTGAACTCTTTCACCAGAGTTCAAGCTCAAAACAAAATCATTGAGAAATATAAATATTTTCTTTTTGATGACAACTTACCACTTTGTATGCAAAGAAGACAACGCTTTGTAAGCTGGATCGCATGTATCCGGACGAAATAAACGTTTTCCACTCTTTTTAACATGTTCTTCTATGCAATAACGATATTTAATAGTAGGATGATTTGTTTTACATTGTTTGTACGGTGCTACTCTAGATAAATAATCACATTTAGTATAAGTGATTCCGTTAACTGTAAATGAAGGAAGACATTGTAAACTTGAATTCCAGAAATTATAACAATAACTAAATACACCCTGGTAAGGTTCTGTTAATGAGCACCATGGTAAATCTCCATTATCTCCATCAGTGGTACAATCATTATAAACGATATTCTTATATGTAAATGGAAATACACAATTACTTTTATCAGTATATGGAAACCTATCGCTTGCTTCAAATGTTGACCAGTCATTCGAAGCATAGATTGATGAACAGAATAGATATACCATGAGACTAATAATATAATAACAACGATCCATCTTTCAACGAAAATAATTTTGGGAGAAAATGAAAATATTTAGAAACAAGAACAATTTATATATGTTTAAATGCATCAATAACTTAACAGATGGTACATTTTATTTAATGATCTGAAACTTGCTGATGTTTTTTTTTTAGTTAAAAGATAAATTATTATTGAAAATGATTCATGCATATAATTATATATGACAGCATATGGAGTTCTTGTATTATAATCGTTTTTTAATTTCATATCAACATATCTTTTGTTATTTTTTAAGTAAAACTTCTAGTCAATTTTTAATGAACCGAATCATTTCTATTGATAAATACAACTGTTCCCATATAATTCAAAGAAGAAAAAAAATTTTTTTTTTATATCGATCTTCGACCAAGTATATTCAAATCGTATGAAATTTTCAGAATATGTTAGAATTGTAATAGAGAAGCTATACTAAAATTTTCAACCTTATAGAATGATAATTTTTGAAGATATGCAACAAACAACCATCAAAAATAGCTCATTTTATAATCTTACATTCTCTATGGGTTTTTTTTTCTATATACTTAACATTTTTGTTTGTTTAAAAGAGCATGAGAGAGTCCGTTTTTTTACTTCTTACTCTTACAGAGGAGAAAACAGATGAAATGAAATATTTAATGTCGCGAGAACCTATAAAAAACAACGCTTTAATTGTAGAAGTTCTCGTTCATACAATAATAGCAAAGCTCCATTCAAAAAGGGGACTCTGCTATGTTCTCCATCTTGGCATGCTTTTGCAAACGAACAAGAGCTAAATACATAGAATGAAGATTCACAGAGAGTTCTGTGACACATAATCAAAAAAACATAAACAAAGAAAAAGTGAAAAGATTTGCCACTTTTCCTAAAAAAATTATTGTTCAAGCGGAATGTGACACAAAATTATCAAAAACTTTACCAAAAAAAACGGGCTTAAAGCTTAAAACTTATGTTGCTTCTCACAGAATATAACTAGTGCCCTGCACAGGTACGACTTTTTGAAATCGAACCTGAGGTGAAGCTAATCAACATCTGTCTGATACCTTCATACTTAAAGTACGTTTTTGCGAAATTTTATTTTATATAAAAGAGTATACTATCTAGTTTCTTTCATAAGCAATAACAAAAAAAAAATAGATCATCTCTAATAATTCCACAAAAAAAAAACAATCGATTTAATATTCACTTGGTGCCTTTCCGTTTCTAGAATCCGATAAATTTTTCGGAGTATACATTTACTTGCTGATGATGATGTTGAATTGAAAAACAGTGTTAGTACCAAACGTCATAGTTGTGAATACATACATTAATGCTTTTTCCATCATTTTAATACATGTTTACTTTTTTCTCTTCATGTATTCAGTTACTTTATTATATGACTCATCATCATCTATAGATCTAAACAATGTCATTTTTCATTTCTGTAAGCTATTCTCAAGTATAATAAATTGCTAAATCATGATCAAACTGATTTTCATTCCAATGCTTTATATAAATTAACAGTTTGAAAAAGTAAACATATTTTGAAACGTCGAGATCGTACTAATAGCTGAGTAGAGTCGAATACTTGAGCCACTTACAAAATACGAAATAGAACTCAGATTATATTCCCATGAATTTATCTTAATTTTAATGTTTTTCACGAAAATTGACTTTTTTTCAGGAGCATTAGCCTTAATATCAATGGTTATACATCTCAAAAAATCAATCTAAACTTTGTTTCTTGATTGTCACGACTTACAAAGTTTTTTTCGATATTCTTGTCAATATATGATCTTGTATTCTAATGTTAAAGATAAGGCTAAAACTATTGATAAAATATAATCCAATGATAATACATCGTAAGATATATTGTACTGATAAGGCAAACTGAGTTTGCAAGAATTTATTTTATTTTTGACAAAATGTTTATTTTAGATTTTGATTGATTTCAGCTGATAATCGTAATTCAAATCTTCCATATGCACATTTAGGATTTCGAATAATCACACGATAATCTCCTTTCTGCAGACGATAACTTAATACAGCTGCATAACAATTCTGCAATGGAAGACTATTACCATCATCATTTTGAGCTAAAAAGTTGCCATTTGCTTCTGAATAGAGTTCGAGTAAAGGATCAGCAGCACCTGATAATTTCCACATTCTACAAGATACCCATGTATTAGCTGATATTGTCACATCAGCTGATGTTGTATTGACACTAAAACAAAAAGTAAATTGTGGTTTATTAGCATTTGTGCTTTCATTAGAGATTGTATCGAAGTGAAGCCATTGTGAACATTCACGTCCAGGAGGAGAAATTGGTTGTCTTGTTGTAGTTATTTCTTGAGTTGTTGTCGTTGAAACAAGTAGGTTAGAAGTATAAATCTCTTCGATAGTAGTAGTTTCAGTTACTGCTACTTGAAATGTCCAAGCATAATGATCATTGATAGGATTTGATTCAACACCACATGATTCATTTAGAGTAGCGACTCCACCGTCTAACAAAATATAATATTCTTCATTCTAAAAATCACAAAAATGACATAGAACATTTTTTTTTTCCTAAATAGTTCAATAATGTCGACAAAGATATACTTACTTGTTCCCATGTATATCCTGCTGTAAAAAATGTTATTATTCGTGATTGATAAAAAACAGTAACATCAGTAGCAACATCAATACGATAAACTTCTTCATTATTAGAACGTTTGAAAAATCTAATATAAACTCCATTAGATCGTCTTGGTCTTATAATATCTCGATCAGTTTCAAGTGTCCATGATGATTGAGTAGCAGATATGAAACTCATAGGTTTCATACTTATAAATTCTGGTGGATGAACATCAACTTGAAATGTTAAACATACTTGAGAACCTATTTGTCGTTGAGAATCAACAGGTGTTACACATAATTGATGTATACCATATTGATCTGATTCAGGTGTCCATTCAATTGGCATTGTATATATATTTTCATTTGTTGGATCACGAGTTATTTCTCCTTTAATGAGACCACCTGGTGACACAGTCAAAATATCTTGTAAAGTCGTGCTTGTATTCTCACATGGAATACGTATTTGTATACGTGCTTTAAATGTTGTATTTGATTCAATACCAATACATGAATCTTCTGACCATTCACCAATATAAATAGGTGGTTCAGCACAATTAGGTTCAATTGTTTCATTAACAATATGAATGAGAAATTGAAGTGGAATAGCCGAGAGAACACTTCCATCCGAATCGAAATCTTCGATTACAATCGCAACAGCATGGTAACCAGATTGAGAAGCATTGTATGTTAATTCACATGGATTTGATTGAAGATTACCTTTTGATGCACATATACTTCCGCATTCATCTGCTGAATTTCCCCATCGACATCGTAGTGAATCACCATCACTATCAGCCATTGGAATACGGATAATATGTATTTTATCAATTTCAACTTGAACAATTGGATTCATTGTTGTTTTAGGAGAATTATTCAATCTATTAGATATAGAAAAAATAAATTAATTAATTCATGCTGTTGATTTTTACTTACGTTCCATCGAGACGTCGATTTGTATTAACGACAAGTTTTAATGCCCATCCTGATTCTGAATCAGGTGGTAAGAGTGTTATCCAACAACATCCTTCATATAAATATTCAATTCGACTGTTGAGAGGTAAAAGAACAGTAGTCGAATTTTCACCACTACTATAATCAAATTCTTCATTATAATCTGTACATCGTACTTGGTTATTAATTGAAGGAACTGTAGGCGATAACATATTCTGATTTGATTTCCAGACAAGCATACCTTCTCCAATTAAGTTGCCTGAACTTGGGGATGTATTATTACAAAAATGAGCAGAACGACGCCATGAATGTCGTTGAGTGATACGCACTGCTATTTGTTGACCATCACCTGTTATATTGACAGGAATAGCACGAATTGTATATGATATGGCTCCACCTCTATATGATTTCGATGTAATAAATTATGTGGAGTAAAAAAAAAACAATGGTCTCCTTTACCTATAATGGGATGCAGCAACTACAACAATTAGAAGAAGATGAAGATATAAGGAAAGCATTTCGTGATATAATTATTCCTTTGATTAAAGTATCGTTTTGATTATCTTTTTATATTGGATATTTCAATGGTATAATAATCATATTTTCTTACGTTACCTTAAGTATACAATAAATATTTTAGAAAAATATTGATGAATACATACGACAGATGAGTATCATATGTCATCTAATATAACGAGAAGGATATATTTTGTGGTTACTTTGTATCATTTATCTGATTAAAACCTGGACAGACATCTTTTTTGATCATTCAACATTTCCATTAATTTAAGCTTGAAATTTTTTGTGACAATGACTTCAATATAAAGTAGCATACATGTATCTTATTTATGCTCGGTGATTTGTATTAATGTTTTAATCATTAATTTCATTATGTATTATGGTGACTTATTAAGTTTATTTTTATAATTATGATAAGCAAACTAATTATTCGATGATTACGAGTATTCATAAAATTATTTCTGTCTTTCACAAGACTTAAATTATCATAAATATTTGAGCAGAGTTATATTACAAAATACTCAAGTAAAAAATCATTCATATCTCAACTAACACATCAAATTTACATAGCCAAGATGTGATTTAAATTAAATAATTCCCATAGGCTTATTGCGCGTCGGGGTCAATCACAATTAGAATCCACATACAGTCGAATTTTTTCGTCTTTTCCTTTTTACAGACAGTGGTATGTGCACTCTTTCCATCTAGCGCTCTCCCATTTTGAACTTTTTAGGTTTGGGTGTGAGTAGATGCATATATGGCGACGAGAGCAGATGTAGATGCGCTTGTCGATATGGTGATGAGCGTGAGTGTAGAGACGCGTGTCGGTCTCGTTATGAATGCGTATGTCGACAAGGATGTAACGGGTGTCACAAAATGAATGGCGCTCTCAGTATTTTTCATATAACTCATTCATTTTTCAGTGTTTAAGAAAAAAAGTTTTTACCAAAAGATTCCTCGTCCNCATAGTGTAGATAAAAATTCTGAAAAAGTTCGTGTCCTTAGGCCTTTTTTCTCGGGTTACCAACATTTTTCCGAACTTTCAGTCTATTGTAGAATATCACGAAAACATCGCAATGTGAAGTTTTTGACCTGAAATTCTTCTAATCCAATATCTCTCATAATCTTTATGATACGCTGAAAATTTCAATTCAAACAGATGTTTCTCTTCTAAAATAGCAACAATTTCCGACCGAAACTTCTTTGTTGCAGTTTTTTCGTGATATTCTACAATAGACTGAACGTTCAGTAAAATGGCGATAACTCGAGAAAAGAGGCCTAATGATATGAATCGTTTCCGAATTTTTATCTAAATTATGAGTCCAATCTATGAGAAAAATATGATCTTATCAATCGAATGAGTTCTCTTGTCAGCAGCAAACATCTGCAAATGAGTCGATACTACTTTTAATTCGACATGAAAACACATTTTGTAATTATGATTGGCTCATTCACTAAAATCCTAGATCTGTTGCTACTCATGGAAAAGTTCAATGATGAATCTTGCAAAAATAACAAATCACTAAACTAATAAAGAGAAATTCAATTCTTTAGTCTTTGAAAATATTTAGTATATTATAAATGATGTAGAATTGTATTATAAAAATAATAAATAAAGATTTTTACTAGGATACAAACTTGTAGTCGATTGTTTTTCTTTTCTGAATAAATGATTATTAAGTTTTGATGGTGAAGCATTTAATAGTATTGTTTGTTGTATGATATCTTTTCGTTGTGGTATTGATAAATACGATCGATGTTGTCTTTCAATAACTGATCTATTGATATGTTCTCTTATTTGTTCTTGATTTGGATATTGACTAAGTGATATTGTTGCTTTTGGTTTTATTTGTTGATTAATTAATCGATTTGAATGAAATATTGTTTGATTATTTGATGTTTTACTAGTCGAATGAATTTGTTCATCATTAAAAGGAATAAATGATGTTGATAATGGTGTCGAGGATTTAACAATAATATTTAATTTTCTTTCATTTGTTAATTTTTTTAATGTTGGTATAGTTGTTTGTTGAATAATTGTTTTTGTCGTTCGTAGAGATTTATTAGTCAAATCATTTAATGATTGATATTGTTGACTAGAAGGATTAATACACTCAATTTTATTTATATTTGTCTGTTGATGAAATTCTTTTAATGTATCAAAATGAAAACTATCATCATAATTTTTACTCATTTTGTTTTGTTTATCAGAAAATAAATTTGAACGATGTTCTTGTTCATATATACTTTGATTAATAATATTTTCTTCAGACCGATTACGTTCTAAATTAACAAATGAATATTGAATAGGTTGATCATAAAAAGTATCATCGATATTTGAATCTTCATTTAATGCACTTAATGGTTGATCTCTGGTTGTATATTGTTGTTGAAAATATTGAGTAGATGAATTTGTTGAAAAAGAAAGATCAAGACCAGAATCAGATGATTCATGATGATTAGTTTTATTTTCATATGGAAATTTTTTCATCTAGAAGAGAAAAAGAAAATCTTTTCATTGATATAAAAAAGATTCTTTATTTAAAATTTTACTTGATTAATTGGTAAAATTAATGATGGTGAATCGTTATATAAACTTCGATGACTATTTATTTTTGAGTCAATTTTATCTTTTTTTCTTGATCTTGCACCTAATATAGGCTGTGTAATTAATGCTAAATGATCATTAGGTGTAAAGAGATCATCATCGACATGTGTTTGAGATGACGATACCATTAATTCTTTCATATCGTCATCACCTGTTATTGGAGTAATAATACAAATCGATCCAGTAAAATTATCAAATGAAATATTGGTTATTCGTGGATCTAAATGACATTAATGGAAACATAACGGATGTATATATGATTCAGGAAATTAACACACAAAAAAAAGAGGGAAAAAAAATGTCTTGCTGCGTAAAAAAACACGAGATGAAGAGTATTTTATTCTTTTTTTATATCTGCATTTGTAAGAAGTCATTTACTTTTTTTTAAAATGAATGTTTTTAATGGAACACATTTATGGTCGTCATAAAATTTATTGTTTATTTAGTATAGAAATATAAATTTAGTAACATTTTAAAATACTATACAATAGAATTTGAAAAAGCTCTTATCATTATTTGAATTTATCAAAAGATGAAGATAGAATATTTCTTTGTTCCTATGCTATTTAATGGTTGTGGCAGAATAAAAGAGTCTCTCAATACTTTCTCAATATGTCAGACCACTTTTTATTGTTTTAAATCTAATTCTTTTTTACAAAACTATGTAGCATGAAATTATTTACACAATCATAGACTCCCGAGTATGAAAAAAAATAGAATCACAAGCTTTTTTGATAATTATAGTAACAATTTATTGCTAATAACTTTCTATCATGAATACGCAACATTATTTTCCGCTTCTTAGGGCCAAACAAACAATTACAAAAATGATAAAAAAATACTATATTTTATTCATAATCGAAAGTACTTGAACTGATGTCATATACAAAGGATAAGGTCACTTTAACAACTATTGAAAAAATAGTCTATTGTCTTGATACTAATGCCAACGTTAACCTAGTTTACTTTTGTGGCTTTAATCTTATCAAAACTAACAAAGTATTTAGACATAAATTAAATAAACTGTCCTATATTGAAGTATCAACTTATAAACTAAAAAGCTCTACCGAAAGAGTAACAAGTATCTGTTTGCAGAGCACAAAAACCTAGAGTACAAAGACGTATTTTAATTTTAAATCTAAAAGTGAAAAATGAATACATTTTTTGTTTTCAGGAAAAGATGTTTGTTGAGAAAACTATTGAATATGACTATGACATAGAGATTTTCAAGCTCTACAAAATGACCAATAAAGGTTTTTCATATCGTAGTACCAAAACATAAAAAACATACGAAAAAAATCAATTTCATTCTTGAAAGTTGTTAACAATAGATAGTTACAATACTTGCCGAGTAAATTTTGTTTTCAACTAATAGTTCCTGTGACTTTTGTAGAAACTTTCACGCTTCATGTTTAAAAAAAAAAAAATTTAAATCCGAAACGATAAGATATGATAGACATATTAAAGAAATACTGAAAGATTCATCTATTCTGCTGTGCTTGTTTGAACTAAACTCAATTCATTCACGATGTAGATATTTGTATTCTTTAAAATCCATTGAAACAATAATAAATTCATTGCACTTTATCAGTCACCATTTTGTGTAATAAATGAAAGTAATATTATATGACATACGGATGGAATGACTACGGGAAATTTGCAGACGGTATAATGACAAGGTACTTTTTAACGACATAGGAAATATGTAAATATATACGTTTGATTATATTTGAGCATTAGTAAAAAAAAAAAAAAAAAGAAAATATCGCAGGTGGTGCTCAGAGACTCTAATGACATACCTTTATGCTGCTGGATAGGATTCATTATCTAGGATTGTCACATTACGACATGCTCTTTATTCTTTTAAGTTTCAATAGTAAATACTATTTTTCTTGTTGGTATGACTGTTTTTATTATTTTTTGTCTTTACTATTTCCTGGCATGAATGTTCATCAGGATATTAATAAAGCATAGAGGAGTGACTGAGAAAATCTCAGCACATCACGCAAACGAAAAGAAAGAAAAAAGAAAATTTTGAATTCAAATAAATGAGTAGTTATGATGACGATAATTATTGTTCAACATGAACTTTGCTATTTACTTTCGACAATTCTTCTCAATTTTTTCTCTTAATTAGCATCCATAACCATAGAAATATGTACTTAGTTCAATCACTTTTTACACTAGGTTTTATTCTTCTCTGGAAAAAGATTCATTCAATACTTTGAAGTTTTTTCCTTGTCTCATTTTGCATAGTGTACGACAAGTGATATATGATATTTCATCATTCTTTTCTTTATATAAATGATTATGTAGAAAAAACGAAGCATGACATTCTGACAAGATATCTAAATGTGGTAGGATTTTTGTCAAATAAAATTATAAAAATGGATATGTGACATATGCAGAATGAAGACAAGGACGCTCATTGTTAGCAACTAACAGCTCATGTTTCTTTTTTTTTATAAATGATGAACAGCAAGTCTTATTGAATCAAATATATAGAATAGATTTGACAAATTTGACATTTTTATTATGACAACATAAAACAATAGAATATAAGTCATAAATGATATAAAAATATTAAAAAAAAGAACTTTTTATGATAATCTTGATGTCAAACAGTTTGATTAATGAGTATTTTTTTAACAACATGTTCAAATCTAATATATTAGTGATCAATAAGAATATCGATACAAATTCTTTATATCAGAAAAAAAAACCATTCGAAACTAAGTAAACATCATATTTGGACATTTAATATATATTCTAAAATATTATTCTCATTACAAAAAAGAAAAATTGCATATAATCACCAATAAGGTTACAACCTATTTGAATTTCAATTGTATTAGAACTTATTCAAAAATATGATAAAATATCTCTAAGTATGTTTCATGATCTAAAAGCACTTTTAAAAAAAAAGTAAAATTTCTCATTAGAAAAATAAAATCATGCGTAATTCATATTTCATAAAAAAAACGAAAGTGACTTTGTCAGTTTTATTTAGAAATCAATTAGAGTTCTCGCTTTGTTTTCTGAAAAATATAAATCTATAAGATTATCAGAACAAATCATATTCAAAGTAACTTGATGTTAACAATTTCCTTGAGAAATGCTGTTCATGCAATTTTTATGGAATTAAAATATGAAACACAATATAGTTGTTTTTGCTAATTGCAAAGAAATTGTCTTATTCTATCTATTTTGGGATACATTTCTTCCCCATCGTTATATTTAATTCTCTAGAAATGCAATAAGAGAATAGTTCATATATTATTTACGAGACGGTCTTAATATTCAGTTTATGATAATATATCAACAATGTCTGTCACGGTCTATGACACAAAGTATAGGAACATTTCTAAAGCATCTATCATAGTCTGTAACGTTTCTGTGGTTGTCTGTCGTGATCTGACATGAAAGAGAGACTTTGCTAAGAATTTCTGTCACGCCTATGCGGCATTCCTAAAGGGTGATCAGAAAGTTTCGACCCCCTCTCAGTAAATTGATGATATCTACAACAAACTTCTATGTAGTTATTGATCAAATTATATCATTTTGCAGAGAAAGATTAGAGCTATATTCTGAAAAAAAAGATAGTTCGAAATACACAAATCCATAATAATGTTATGGTCATTTTACTAATCTTGAGTAAAAATTTTTAAGTAACATTTTTTTTTTCAAAAACAAAAATTGCTTGTAACANCAGATACTCCCATCACTCACTGTACTGTTTGACGTTATTTTCTTGATATATACCAATCAACCAGTGCGTCTTTTTCTTAAACAAGTATTTGTTCGACATCCTCAACATTTACAAGATAAACTTGTTCGAGCTGTACCTCAAAATATTTATAATATTCAGAATCATTAATGATTAATTTTTCTATGAAATAAATCAATTTTGTTTAGTCATTGTAATTCAAGTTATCATATATTGAGTCTTTTAAGTAAAAAAAACTTAAACTAAAATATTAATTGTTCTTAGGCAATGTTTACAAACTATGAATTTTTTTGTATAATCATTAATTTAATTAATAAAGTGTTTGTCATTAATATAATATTTTTTTTAAATCTAGAAACATGTACTTATTTAACAAGAAAATATATTATTTGTAGTTTATCGTATAGATTCTTTATAGATTCATTGAACAAACAAATAATTATTCAATATTAATGTTATAATACAAATCATTTCTTTTTGTTGATTAGACACGTAAAGAAATATAAACATTCTGTGGTGTATAATAAGTAAAACTTGAAACAAACAAGCTCGCTTCAAGTAGATTATATTTCTCGCTCAAAATCACACATTTTAAGCAGCTTAAAAGCCTTTACAGTTGAATATTCAAGCACTTTTAAATGCTTAACCTGCAAGTATTAGAAGTGCTTACACTAACATATTCAAGTGCTGGATTTCAATAATGGAACACTATACTGGCAGATGTGGCGAATAGCTAGAGAATGTTATTTTATAAACAATACAAGATCTGTTTACCACTTATTTTCTCTAGATTAGTAAGTTTTGTTGCCAATAATTTTGTGCAAGATAATGTAAACTGACGACTCTGAAGCTATATTCGAGAAGTTTGATGAACGATAAAAAATGGCAAACAACTCACATTTCTTTGTACAGTATATATAAGACATTCAAACTTATAAGTCAAAAATAGTCTAAGATATGCAAGTAAACAATGAAATAAAGAAAAGCCAATGACAATGCTATAACGAGTGAATCGCTTTGTAATCGTGTAAAAAGTGAATAATGCAATGAATTTTCTATCATTAATAGACATTCAAGTTAAATTAGGCTGAAACAAGTGATATGCTCTAGCATTGAACAGAGAATATCAAGAGAAATCTACAACACATGCAACCAAAGATCACAATACTTCCTAATGCCTTTTATTCTAAGTCCTATGAAGTGCTAAAATACAAGAAAACAACTTTTCAGTTTAAGTGTTGTAAAATTAAAGTACTTTTAAACGATATTGATAATAAGTGCTTCACAACACTTATGAAATTTTTTTCTAAATTCTATTAAGCTATTTATTTAAGTGAAATAGCTTTCAACCGCTTGCAACAAATAAAATTAAGTACTTTACAGCAGTTTCTTGAAGTATAAACTTTTCTAGGCCGCTTAAAAATAGTATACCAAGACAAAAATTTTCACGTTAGTATTTATAATCATGTACTGAGAAAAAACATAATATGAAATATTCTTTTGAACTTAAAAAATTTTATTTGTAAAAGCACTCTCAATTCTTTATTCTATTGTTCATCTCTACCAGTGTCAAATAAAACTTATTGTTTTTAGAATGTCTGATGTTTTTGACTATATATTAATGCTACTTTAGAAAAAGTTATAATAGAGAAAACAAAAAAACATTCTAATGGTAAATTATGTTCATGTCTCTTCATGTACAGTTATTATCTGTTTCGAATGAAGTTCAACTATTTTTACATAAAATAAGAAATAAAACAATCATATGATATGAATCAAAGTTGTTGTATCTGATGACAAATCTTTTGTATAATCTAAATGAAAAGTTTCATCATAAGAACAATATATTCGACATGTTTAATATATTTAATTGCACTGAAAGTTTGAAAATGTGACGACTCAAATAACTTCAATGATCTAATTATTTGTTTAAAATATCAAAAAAGAAAGCACATCCTGAAAGACACTTAGTCATGAACAATTCAACTTTAATGATTAAATTAAATGTGACATACACTTTTTTTTTCTCATTATCTGCGTCTAATCTGCATTTCAAGAGGACTATTTTAAGAAAAAGAAAAGGTGACATGAGACAATCAAACAAAATTAAATGTGAACTGTATAATGAAGCTTTTCGAAAATTTATAACGAGGCCAGTTCGAAAGAAATACCACTTAATTAGTATAATTTAATCATTTAGAATATTATGACAGATTAAGAAAAAATACTAACGAGAGAACATTTTTAATTGCTAATCGTCGATTGAAGTGGTATTTTGCTTAGAATTAAAACTCAGTGAGACTAGAAAATAGTCTAAAAGAATTTGTTCTTGTAGACGGATAAGTTCTACTCGATGTATTAAATACTGAAGAAAACTCGTTTTTTATTACCCTTTTTTTTGGTAACATATGATTGGATTTTTTATGAATATTCGATATTTCAAGAAGGAACCATTTGTTTTGACTGAAGCTTTCAGAATAATCTGAGAATCATGAAATCTATTTATAGGCAAAATTTTAAGTAAAAATTCCTTTTCATAAGCCGAAAATTCAACGAAATACGTCATAACTCCACAAGCAAGATGTATCAGGATAAATTTTTTTTTAAAACTTTTTCTAGTCTCAATGAGTTCTTTTTTTATGAGCAAAATATTATTTCGATCAGTGATTAACAGTTGGATGTATTATCTCGTAAGTTGAAGTCAATCGAATAAAATTTATCTTTCAACACGATGCTATAATGTCATAGATAGTCTATGATTTATTAATTTTTATTTCTGTATGTAAGAATATCGACAATGTCGTTCAATTTAACTGTTTTCATTTAAGTAATAAATGTAGTAATGATTTTTTTTTTCAAAAATAACCTAAGATTATTCAAGAAATGATCTATGTAATCGTATTTGAGCTCAATATTAAACAAAGATTTTTCGATAAAGATTATTTTCTTTTTAACTAATTCTCTTTCTCATCTTTCTATTTTTGTTCATTTCCTGAGGACATCAAAAATGATTCATTCTTTAACAATCTTATTTCTAAATATAGAATGAACTTGTTCTCATGAACTAATATACTATTTGACGTATTTATTGGTTACTTGTTGCGACTAAAATATTGATATTCATCCCATAAATCTCATTGTCGAACAAGTACAAAAGCGATACATTAACAAAGTTCATTACATACGACGTTCATAAATAAATCAAAGAAGAATGGTTATTGTAGTGTCATTAACATGGATTTCTATTCGAAGGAGAAGCAGCAGAGACTTCAATCTTGAAGTCATTCAGCTATAGCTTTCAGTATATGTTAAACTCTGATAGAGTTTCCTAAAGTCTTGAAGTATGCTGTTTCCTCCTCGTCTCTAACGAAAAAAAGAATTTCTTAAATAATATCGCAAATAATATACTGATGCATTTATTTCAACTAAATACAGACAAGAGTTGTATCAAGTCGTAGACTAACGGCGGCATGTTAAAATGAAAAAATATTGTCAAACTCTATTACGTCACAATGGTCCTTCTTTCTATGAGAAAAATGGCAAGCAAATTCTCTCAGAATTGTAACAAGTCCTGTCGATTAAACATGGTTATTTATTTAAAAAATGCAGCATAATAAAACATGAAAGATAACATGTCGATGAAAAAAAATACGTGCATTAATATCAATGAAGATATTATGGGTGGCACTCATCGTCTGCCTCTCAATAAATGCTAGCGTACATCAATTTACGAAATAAATAAGACTTTTTGAAATAAAATTATTTCATTTTGGTATTTGACAATGTGAAATATAGAAATAAATTTTTGTTCGTATATATATTAAAAACAAAATAATATTTTAAATATGCAGAAGAGTTTTGAAAGAAGCGGAACTATACTCAAAGGCAAATCGTTTGATGAGTTCTGATAACAGACTCAAACCTAAGTTCAAACCAAACTCAATTATCCATTAGAAAAAAAAATCATTTTTCACAAGAAGGTGGTCACTCGAAAATTGCACCATATCTATGGAAGGAGAAAGAGGCTAATCACTACCAAAAATTGGATAACACCATTCTCGAGAAAGCAAATGCCGAGATGATTTTAAGAAATTCAAAAGTCTACTTTTCAAATCTGTGCAGGTGAAAATATGATTGTCATTGATCTAAACATCTATCAACAAGACGTAAAGATGATCAGTAAAACCGACAAAAAAAATTTGTTCGTCATTCATCTATTAGCAAAATTGAATGGGCTACAGAACAATCTACATAGTGTCTTCGAAGAAACATGTTACAGATTTCTTCATCGTCCTTTTGCTTAAACCTCCAGAAATGCAAAAGATAGTATTGATGCATGGTTTTTTATCTAAAAAGCTACTCTAAATTTGTATCTCTATACTTCAGTACTCCTTTTAGATAATGTTTTACAAAATAATTTCCTGTAAAGTAAACAATTCCGTATTGAAAGAACTGATAATGAAATTTTTCAAACAGAAATTTCGTCTCATAGATATTAATTAAAACAAATGATAGTCAATATTAAAAAAAAAATTTCTGAAACAAACAAGATTTATTTTATATATTCAATCAGAGTAAAAAAACGAAACTATTTTTTATCTGCTGGACATGGTTCAATCATGAGAACAAGTTGTCGAAATCGTTGTTGTATGCGTTTATCATTAATACAAGCAAAACCACCATGTCGAACTTTTTGTTCAGCTTGTCGATTCATATCACCAATACATGTCCATGTATCATAATTACTTACAAGCCATTTCGAATGATCATGATGAACCGTGAAATTAAATGCAAGTTTTTCAATATTTTCTGTATGATATTGACCTGTACAATTTGATGGTAAATTCGTTTGTCTACCATTTGACCATGTTTCACTTAACATTGATGTATGAAGAGATGGTACTATTAATTCACTTAACATATCTATATTAGCTAATCCATATTTAGCAAATGTAAGAATTTTAAGTGAAGAACTATTTAATGGATAAAAACGGGTATATGGTGGTTCATTTATATGACCTTTATTTGTTATAATACTATTTGCAAGAATTGGATAACGATTTGTTGCTGATGGAGTTAATTTGGAATCAAACACCAATGGACGTGTAAAAAGAAAATGAGTAGAAAGTAAATCAATCGAATTTACAGACAATGAAGTAGTATTATCAAGTGTTATACACAACATCGTTTGACCGAATATACGACCTGAAAGAAAAAAATATAAAAGTTTAAGAAAAAAAAAACTAATTGTTTATCATAATAGATATATACCTGAATCTGGATATTCATAACCTTTTTCAATGATTTGTGGAAAATGTGGAACACTATGAACAAGCCAAAATCCTGTTTGTGTATTATCATTGAATGCTAATACACCTTTTGAATGACCATATATCAATGAAACAGGTTTATTTGGTGGTTGATCATTATAAAATATATATGAATATTCTTTTAATTTATATAATGGTCCTAATGTTAAACCAGTTAATGATAATGGTGAATCAATACTTTGTGATGAAAATTGCCATTTATCTAAAGATGATGAACTATCCAAATAGATATAACCAGTACCATTAGCAACAAATGGATCAATTGAATGTGTAAGACGTGGTAATTTATATATAATAAACCAATCAACAGGTTCATTTAAATGATTTCGACATACACATGTTGGTACTACTGATGAATTTTGACGAATACAAAATAAGTAATGATAATAGAGAATGATCAGAATAACCAAAAGTAGTGTTAGAAATTGAAGAGCCATTTATTCACTTTCTATTTATAGAACAATTGAATTCAACAAGCAATTTTTAGCATACCATCTTACACCGATTTGATATTTTATTGTTTCTTCACTAACTGAAATGAACGCTGTCAACTGTTTTTTGTGTTGATATATACATGTCAGAAAAGAGAAGAAACAAAAAAATGAGCAATACGGTCGTCCGTTAGAATATATCAATATTGTTAGTTGCCATCGATGAACGATGGACAAAAAAAATTCTTTTCACTGAACGAAAACAATTTTTTTTTCTCAATGCAATATATCGATATATATCTATATGTATGTGTTCAGTTACTTGGCGATATTCTATATAAACATAAGAATTGATTTGTTAGAAAAAAGTCTACATGAGTTGCTTTATATGAAGTAAACTCAGGACATCTACGAATAAATAAAAAGACTATTTCTCATACTCTCGAAATCACTCAACAAGAATTGACGCTAAACCATTGAGTTTTTTTTTCGATCAGTCGGATGACTTTAGAAATAAATCGTGACTTTGTTTATGTGACTCGGTTTTTGATGTTATACTGTGAAGTTGATACTAGTAAATTATGCTAAGGAATGTTTTTATTAAAAAATTGATTGTTGACATTATTCTACATCAATAAAACATGTATTAAAAATTAAAAATACTAATGCAAAAATTAGTTCCGCACAGGCAAATGAGAACACGATTGACAAATGAAACATAAAATACATTAAAAAAAATTCTTTCACACAGAGTCATCTTTATTGATAAATCAAATATCTAAAACAAAGAAAGAAATAGAAATTGTAATAAGAAAACAGGACTTTAAGAATAACGATAAAAGACGTCATCTTAAAGAAGAAAGACAAGATTTTCAACTTTACGTTAATCTAGATTTCAGCCTTAGTTCGCCTATCTGCAGTTCATACGGTAGTGCCCGTCGAGTTCAAAACGTTCGGATGTGACGAGATCTATCGTACGGATACCAGATGAAAACAAGTTATAGTTGTTCAATCTAATCTAAATTGAAGCGGTAAAATTCAATCGTTGTATTGAGAGAGTATCCAAATGAGATTGATAGAATTAGGGAGTTTTATAAGTGGACGGATCAAGGTTAAAGATTCATCTAAAATTGAATCTACATTTGAAAAATTCTAATTGAAAATTGATTTTCTTTTAAATCATATTTAATATTATGAAAAATATTTTTACTTTTAAAATAAATCAATGTGAATATGAAGTTTGGTTCGATTGCTTTTTACAATTCACCAATCTTATTAATGTCATAGTAGTGACATCCATACTGAAACAAAATATTTATCTTGATTGCGTAAATTGTAGTGAAAAATTATGCAGAAATTTATATTTAACTCTCAATATTATAAATCTTAGAGTATTTATCTAATTAACGAATAGTTCGTAATCAGATACTGAAACTTTAAATCTATGATATAACTACGATTTGACAAAGATTATTTTTAAATCAATGTGATTTTTATGACAATGGGTTCTTCAATGAGATTTCAATGATTGTACGCATAGGTTTTTTCTCGCTTATGTCTAGAAATCATGTTTCAAAAAATGATTATTTCAGAATCTTTTTAATCATCATTCTTATTGTTTTTCTTGTTTCATTCTTCTATTTTTACAATATCAAAAACTTTATAATATATTCATTATATGTAATCAATGTCAATTAACACGTGACAAAATAAAATAAAATATTCTTATCAACAGATGTACTTGATCAAGAATATTATCAATTAAAAAAAAATTCTTTCTTCATCATTATAAGATTTCAAATGCAAGAAAAAAGAAATATTTCAAAAGACATATTTTAATATGAATCACTATATTATTGAATAAAATTTAGATATTATTGAAAGTAAACAATAAAAATTATTAATTGATCAACAACGAATTTATACATTAGAACATTTAGTAAACAAATTTGATTTTATGTCTTTTTTTTTTTGCTGACTTAAAGGTTTTTAATAGGATCGACACAATTGAATAATGAACTGAAAACAATGAAATCAGTTGTGTGAAATTAAATATTAGTGATTAGTCAAAAAGAAAAAATTCTTTTTATATTGAATTCTACTTGTCAAATAAATAATCAAAATGAATATTGTTTATTTTTCATTATTAATTATCAATTATTTATCATTAGGATTTATTTAGAGTGATACCAAAAACTTGCTCATCAATGTTCGTGTTTATCATCACCAAAAATTACTAACATTTGTTTATTTTCCTTCTTTGATTCAATCTAAGTGAAATAATTTTAATTTCTCTATTAAAAATATTTTATTTTAATTACAGACTTTCCAGTATTATTGAAGATAAACAATCAAAATTTGAAATTTTCTCAATATAATCAAAATAATAAGAAGAATTTTTATTTTTTTTTCAGTGAGATTATTTTCAAACGAATATTTATTTCAATGATTTTTTTATTATGATAGAAATCTATAAAAATGTCAGTCTAGTGTTACATTGTTTTTGTTAGTCTACAATACAGATCAATAATTAAGAAATTAAACTATTTATGAACGAGCAAATCCTTTCTAATAAAATCCTTATTACCTATTGGCGAATCATGCAATTCTTCATCATCAATTTCACGTCGTGGTATCGGTATACGTGAACCTCGTCTAGCTCGATTTTGTGCTAAAACATCTTTTAAATTAGAAGGTTTTTGTTGATTTTTGTTTTGAGTTAATGATCTATTTAGTGACTCATGAAATGTTCGTGTCGTTCGAAGAGTTTGTTGTTTCATGTTTGAACGACGTGGAGAAGATAATTCACTAAGATGAAGTGGTGTAATATGTGGTCGAGAAGGTAATGCTCGAGGAGATAATTGATTAGTACTAACAACATGATGAGGAGAACGAGAAACTGAAGGAAGATTTTCGGCTTGTGAACTGTGATGAACAGGATGTGATTCTACAATATACTAAAGAAAAAAAAAATTCAAATAAATATTTCATTTGTAATCAGTGTTTTATTCAACATGACGAGCTGAGAGAGCGATGGGTGATGCTCCTCAGAGAATCGGCTTGACTCTTTCGGAGTTTATAATTATTGTAGCACATAGTATGCTATTTATTCTCCCAAAAATAGGTGTTCATCTTCTGGGCGTTTTAAATCGTTAATGCAAACTTTGCAGATTAAAATGTGACAATGTCATATAGTTATTGCTGTTAATTAGAGAGAGATTGTTTTATTCTATCTATATTGAGACACATTTTTTTATCATCGTTTTAGTTAATTTTTGAGAAAGGCAATAAAAAAAATTATTAATTTATTATAACGAGACAGTATTGATATACGGTCTATGATTTTATATCAAGAACGTCTGTCATGGTCTACGACGTGGGAAGGATGAAGTAGAGAAACTTTACCAAGGCATCTGTCATGGTCTGTGATGAGGAAGAGACGTTATTAAAAATGTCTCTATAGAGGAGGTGCAAGTTTTTATTCCTCTACTTCAACACTTCTTCTAAATTATGCTTCACAAAATCAAGATAAAACATTGTTTATAATCATACTCGTTGTTTTGGTACACGATCTTGTAGAACATATTCATTAGTTTCTTCATTTTGTGGTCTATGATCATTTTCAAGAACATGTTCACTTGTTTGTGATTGTGAGGGTTCATAATAGATTCTTTCAATAACATGTGCTCGTCTTGGTGATACATAATTATGTTGACGAGGTGATATTATTGGTAATTTTTCAATATGATTATCATCATATGATTCAAGATTTGTTCGTCTAACTAATATAGGTGAATAATTTCTTTTTTTTTCTTCATAAACAGGTATTTCATCTAGTTGTGATATATCATAATTCTCTCCATATTCTACTGGAACATAATAATAAGTTTTATGATCACCACGATCTTTTTCAATTATATTATATCGTCTTTTTTTTCTTCGATTTGAAGTAACTTGTGAATGATTTTTCAATCTATTACCATGTTCATTGGAAATATCATTTGATGTATAATAATATTCAGGCACTACCCGACTCATTGTCATAGAAAGTCATACTAGAAGAAAATAATCAAAAAGAAAAATTGTGAATAGAAAAGAAAACAATAAATCATAAATTCATTATTTTCTGTGTCGGAGAACTCAAATAGGAATGAACAACAAGACCAAATGTGTCAACATTATCGATGAAGAAATCATCAAATAGCTGCATCAATCAATCAACTCTACGAGAAGCCTTTTCAGTTATTTAATCAAAGAAAAAAAGAAAAATATTTTTATTTATCTCTCTATCAAATATTAGTTTCATTTGTATTATTATCGTTTTACAATCATTTTCAATTTCTTTAATAATAACTCATCTGACTATTTTTCGACTTATTTTATCTATATTTATTATTATGCAGTTTTCAAATAAGTGAACAAAATAGACATAATAACTTAATGTATTGTAAACTTCCATTTATTATTATTTGCATCTGTTAAAATATCAACTTCTAATGTGTTAATTAAAGCAAATAAAACAAAGATCGTTACAAATAAAAACCATATTGATATTTGAATAATTTTCTTTTCAATCATGTATATGAATTTAGCTGTAATATATATATATATTGAAAAAGATTTCTAAGAGAAAAATTTAAAAAGTTACGATATGAAAATATTTTATATATAAATAAATAATTTCATCGACATTAATAGAATTGTATAAAAATATTATAAAAGCATCAGTAATATTATTTATTATTGTACTTTTTTTTATCTCATCGACAATAATGAACATTGGATTAAATAGAAATATTTGATAATATATACCGAAAAGTTATTGAAAGAGTATCAAAAAGAAAAAAATAACAAGACTATTTTTTATTAATTTTTAATATGAAAAAATAATTTGAAGGTTTATTAACAAAAATTCTATTGATTAACATGTTAACAATTCTCGAAAGAAGAATACACATATATATTAGACAAAGATACAAGAATTAAAGTGTAAACATCAGCAAGAAAATCGATTTATTTAGTCAATAGTGTTTTTGAAAACAAAAAATGAATAAACGATAAAGTCAATATTCTACCGTTGATTTTTGTCATAGATTCTCACAGAAAACATTCATAACTATGTATAAAAATGTCGATCAAGTGTCATTCGTTTATTTAACTTGTCTTCTGTGTATTACTGTTTACTTGTCATTCAAAGAATAGATCCAAATAGACTAATATATAAAGATCTAATTCCATCAGGCAACATCAATCAATTCTCTTATTGATAAAAATCTTGCGATTCTTCTTATTACTGCAATACATTATATTTCTTCAATATGAATTTTGTATACCGCTGAGAATTATTATTGATAAATATAGAGTTATTTCATTTGTATGTAAAAAAAAAAAAAAAAAAAAAGAATTATTTTATAGGAGATCCTAGTGACTACGATTTAACAACAACAACCTACATCGTATACATCAGAATTATGATCTAATAATGTTGTTTATCTAAGAATTGCATTAACGACACGAGCGATGAAACTTCCTAAAACCGGAACAAATTTAATTAATAAACATTTCTATGCAAATTATATTTTCTTTATGTTTGATATTTATTTTCGTCAAAATAAGTAAGTATAACAATAAGAAATAGAAAAAACAAAAAAAAGAAACATTAAATAATGTCGATACACGTAAGTATTAATTTAATGTTAAATAAGTTAAATTAAGATTTGATAGTGATAAATGAAGAATAGCATTTGGTGTATTTCTTCGAATCAATTCTCAAATAAACATATAAAATTAGAAGAATAATTCTCTCAATAGAATTATTTGTTTTTATCAATTTCCTATATGAATATCTATCATGAAAACTATTTATATTTCTATATCCAGTTATAACTTCATATTATTATACTAAATATAAAAACAACTAATGAAAACAAAAAAAAAACTATATTAATTTGAATAAAATTCTATCTTATTATAGAGTTTCAGTTGTGTAATTTTTATATGTCACGATTTCTTTTTTTTATAAACAATGTTTCGTCGTACCCTGCAGGTATAATTAAAATAACTCCGTACCATCAATAGTTCTAACACATGTTTGTTTGTTTTTTGACTTGTAACCGAGAATAATATTTCAATGAATATTATCCTTTTAAAAAAAATAAGTTTAAAAGTACGAGTAACGATCAGTAATGTTACTAAATTATTCAGAAATAAAGTTATATAATTTATAAATCTTATGAAAAACAAATGACAGATATTCACCAATGCAATAAAATTCCTTGATTTATTTTTATATTAGATGAACTTTACATAATTGTTGTGTTCCATGATAAAATATTTTCCAATTCGAATTGTAAAAATATATGTAGATTAAATTATTTCTCATTTGTTCGATTGATCTATGCATATTTGATAATGAAAATGATAACGATGAAAACTTTATCATATTAACGAGTCAATAACAATCTATAGAAAAAAACCAACTAGTTTTTATTCGTAAATATATTATTATTAGTTGTGTTTATATCAAAATTTTTCTTCATTGTTAAAAATCTAAGTACATCATTAACTATATACCTGTACAGAAAAATGTTAAACTGTATATCAAAATAGTCATGTTTCTTTGCTTTTCGTTTATATCTGTTTTTGTTTTTGTTTTTGTGATTTATATTTCGATTCATCAAACAATATCTATGTTATATGAGGAAAAAATGAATGCGGCATACTGAATTATATCCTGACATTATATTTTGAATTATCGATCGCAACGTCTGTTGAGCTCATAGCGAAAGAATCGTTCAAAAAAGAACGTCCCTCGCATAGTTTTGAGAATGCTGCGATATGATTATTCTGTACTCTAGATAATGTAAATTAAATTATTCATATTTTATTCTATTCTTTAATAATAATTAAAAAAAAACGAATAGAATTTTAAATTAATTTTTAAAGATAATAAATATAAATATGAATATCTTTATCCTATTTGAAAGTTATTAGTCGTTAAGTAGTTTTTTTTTTAGTGAAATAAATATAAATAAAAATTTATTGTCCTCAATTATATTTCGATTAGATAGCGACAAAATTCCTATATATTCGTATAAGTTAATATTATTTTCAAAATCCTTGTTTCCTGGGTAGATTAATTCATCAAAAAAAAAAAACCGATCGTGACTATACAGCGTAGATTGTGTATTTTAATATCACTGATTAGTATTACTGAAATATGATTTGATGCTGCTCATTACTAATTTTATTCGCAGTCAGGAATTTTCTCGATAGTTATGTTAAAAAAATTAATTCGTAGTTATTCTAATAATATTTTCTATCGTGCAATAAAAAAAGAAATATTAAATAGAGAAACTACTTATCAACAAGTCAATGATTTAATGATTCTTATTTATGTGAGCAAATGATGCATATTTACGTGTGATTTACGTCAGCATGCTAGAAAGAAAAAGACAATTGATAACGTTTTTCTTTTTTTGACAAGTTCAAAAAAGTGTCCCTTTTAGTGATGTAATTATCGCTTAAAATAGAAATAAATGTACATATTAATGGAATCGATATGTGAACGGAAAGATCATATAGTGAAGAAAATATATTCAAAAGCAAGACATAACAATCACTCATTGTTAGTTTTTCTTAAAGTGTTCTTCCATTTCAACTAATTGACAATAAATAGTACTGCATTAACACAATCACAGTAACTAAATTTATCTATTGGAACTCTAAACAATAGGATTTTTTTTTTTCGAACTTCAATCCATGAAACCAACAATATTTAAAAAGATCAGTCGCGAATTATCCTTTATGTTTTTTTTATAAATAACTAATAAGGACATATTAAAAGAAAATATCCATATTCATCGTGTGCAGAATCATCATTTCTACTACGGATATAATAAACAAATATTTACTTATAGAGATTTTTTTTCAAAACAATGGATGCATATATGATCATGCATATTAATCATTAGAAATTTTAGTCAAGTATATATATATTATAAAATATACGATAGGTGATTATTAACCGATTACATTTTTTTGTCCATTTAACGATGAAAATGATATAATGTAGCACACATTTACTGTAACGACAAATATTTATCAACATAGAAATATCTTTATTGGTCTATATATTAATATGATTAGAGAATATCAACCATGTATTTCTCTTTCCTATGGACAAAAATTGACTATTAATAGTTAATCTATTTTTGATTTTATAAACACATAATTTTTCATCTTCTTCTTTTTCTTCTTTTTATTATCAATGGAAGTTTTTTTTTTTTCTTTCGTTTCGAAAGTAAATATTTTCACATCGAACACATGGTAAATTTGCGAGGATCATATGAAATACAACTTCCATATATAATAAGTTTCTTTTTCTTTGAGTCGTCCTTGAGAAAAAAATTCTTATTAATTTTTTCCTTTTTTTTTCATGTTACCGATGAAAAAATGATTGACTCTATTTTTCTGATCAAAAAAAAAAAATTTTTTTTACTATTGAATTGATTTTAGATAAGGAAATGGCTCAATTACAAGTAACAGTTATTGAAGCAAAAAATTTAAAGAAAAAAGATACACTTAGTGAAAATGATCCATTTGCAGTATTATATCTTGATGATGCACATTACAAACAAAAAACAAAAACAAAACAAAATTCGAAAAATCCGAAATGGAATCAATCATTTGTTTTGTAAGTTTTTATTTTTAGTTTCAATTTTGTTTTAATTGAATATTTATTTTTAGTAATCATTTATATGGACAAGATATTCTTCATGTTGATGTTTATGATGAAGATTCAGTTAAAAATGATAAAATAGGTTCAGTTGAGATTGATTTACGTCCATTATATGAAAAAGGTTTGTTAGAAAAATAATTTATACAAATTAAATGTTTTTTTTAATTCAATTTTATTTTTCATAGGTCATTTAGATCAGTGGTTTGAACTTAAAGGAAAACTTGGTTTAAGTTCTCATGGACAAATTCATCTTATCCTGGATTTTGAGCGACTTCGAGTGTAGAATTTTTGATTGTATTTCCTTTTGAAAAACGATGGCTCAAGAATAAAATACAAAAAACTAAAAATTATCCATATACCGACTTTTTATACATAATCAAATTGGTGTTTATTTTACAATCTTTTATTTTTTATTCTTCAATCAAAAAAGGTGATTTTATTTCTTTTATGGTATATTATAAGCTAAGAAGTAAATGACAACTGGTTTTACTTGACCTGATCATCAACAGATCTAGTTCAAGTACTATAATGCATAGAAAAAAAAATCCTTTCAACATCCTCTTTAATAATTTGTTATTAGCCTACTGCTTATTTTTATTTTTGTAAAATATTAATAATAACAATAATAATAATAATAAAGAAATAGTTTCCTATATATATTTGAATTTATTATTCTTATAATAAAATTCATTGATGAAATAAATTACTACTGTTTGGAAAAAAAAGTAACTTGCACAAAAGTAGAATTTCTTTTTTCTAATGTTTTCTTTTTTTATGAAGTAATTTTAGGTTTCATTTTTTCTTCGATTGTTGTTTCCTGTGGACTGGCCAACATATGACCTAATGTATAATAATTACGGTCTATTTTCTATTTAAAATTCTATTCATATGACATTACTCAAGCAAAGTTGTTAGGTTTAACTAGAATTGTAAAGCGTGAAACAAAGATTCCCAATAGAAATCTCTATTCACAATGTTAACAAATTTATATCAATTAATTTAGTTGAGTATCGAAGAAGATCTGGTCGATGATACGTACAGAGTACAGTAGAAATAAATCATTGTTGATCTATATCATATATTCCTTGAAATAGTCATCCTAGTGATGAATGCAATGCTTTATTCAAATTTTCTCTTCTGAAAGGCGAACAACTAGTTTAAGGAATACATATACATAGTTTGTGGTACAGTAAACATAAACCTAGTCTTTGGAGCAATGCTACTACCTCACTGAATAAAATACCGTTTCAGAGTACTTTATGAGTTTTTAGAACTTGAATATAAAATGCTTCTAAATGTTTAATCTATTAGCTTGTTGAAAAATGTTTAATAGAATGCTAAAGAAATTGGATGGATACTTGGTAAATACTCATGTACTGAAACTATAGTCAACAAGGTACCCAATCAAGGTCCTGTGACAAAACTAGTAACACAGTATTTTGAACTTAGCACATTCACTAGAGTAGATATGACTTAATGAAATAAATGAATACGTATAGACAATCCCAAGAGACGTAACATTCTTCATGCATGTATCTATTCCTTTTTTTTTTTAATGAAACTTCTCGAAAACTAACATTTATAACATGATCACAACTTCAAATAAGTCATTAATATTAATAAACAATTAATCAATGATTATACACCTCAAATAATGAATCAATCAATATAATAGTCTGAATCTCAATCAAATTAAAAATAATTAGTCAAGAGTGAAACAAAATTGAAAACTAAACAAAAAAAAAATTGCATGATTCTTTTTTTTTAATAGAAGAATAATGTTTTCTTTTTGTTATTTCTTCCAAAGGTGATTGAGTAAAATTTAAAATTATGATGCTATCAACGAAAGAAAAGTGAAACTTCAATATTTCGTAGTTTCGATTTTTCTCTTGTAAATATTATATAGTACTTTAAAATTTTTTTGCAAACAACTGTCTTTAACTGAAACCAAAATTCTTCTCAGCAGAAGTTTAGACAAAAAATTAGTTGTTTTTTATTTTTCTAATATAAACTGGTAACTCAATTATAGGATACCGAAAATGTTTGAATAAAAATAGAAAATATATTTGAAAGATTTATCTCTTAATTAATACTTGTAAATTATTATTAACATTTTTTATTTTATTCGTTTTATTTTTATGAGCTGAATATCAATAAAAATACCAAAAGAAAATCCAGAATTAGTAATTTTTAAAATTCTATAATAATATTGTGTACAAAATTAATTTTTAACCGAATATAATGCATTTAATATCATCACATATTTTCAATGTTAACGAATAAGATAAATCATAGAGCGTATTACTATTTGATATTTATATAATTTGACTTTTTCTTCCAATAACTAATCCATATGTTTATTAATATGTATCATCCTAGCAATATTTAGTCTGAAAGAAATCTGAAACGAACAGTTTTGAAATTTAAAACAAATGAAAAAGTTAAAAATATTTCACCAATCGAAAAGTGACCTGTTTTTGAGAAAAAGGAGGTCATCTGAAAAAAAACTGAAAATTTTCCTCTAAAAGTTCATTTTCAGAAATTGAAAACGCACATATTCTTGATCAACTCATCACGCTATCTCTAACCATATATAAAGAAAATAAATTTCTACTTTAATGTTTACATTTTCGGCATTTTATCTATCAAGCTGGATTTTCATCAATGGAGTATCTATTGAGCAATGAGCAACATAAAAAAAAATGAATATTTTCTTGAAATATGAAATTAAAGATTAGGACAATAATATTACATAAGAGAGAAGCTTAATTTTTTTAATAATATGCAACAGGAAAAAGTCTATGTAAACGTGACGAAGACGAAATTATTATTATGTTATTATAAATGTTATAAACAAATGAAAAAGAACAAACACGTATTATGATGACTAACTCAGTATACATGCATACGAAAAAGTAACAATGAATTCTTATCTGACTCTTTTTCATTTCATATCTTAACTGATTCAAGTTCACACACGTATCTTCACTTTTCTTCATATTCATTCTGCTAAAAACAATGGTAAGTAGATAAATAGTCCAAAACTCAGGATTTTGTGTTTTATGTTTTGTATTTAATATTCAATTATATATTCACTATGTAGACAACAACCCCTACTGCACCTCCTTCAAGTATGGATCAGAAAAAAGAATATTTATTCAAAGTTCTTGTTATTGGTGAATTGGCCACAGGCAAAACAGCACTCGTCAAACGTTATGTGCATAACTTTTTCTCCGAACATTATCGAGCAACAGTAAAATTATAAAAACAATTTTTTCATTTTTAATTCAATAATTCTCTTTTCATAGATTGGTGTTGACTTTGCATTGAAAATTGTTAAATACGATGATGATACTGTTATTCGTCTTCAACTTTGGGTATGTCAATTTTTTTTTTTGTTTCTTTTGATGATATAAAAGTATTTTTCTTTTTTTTAGGATATTGCAGGTCAAGAACGATTTGGTAATATGACTCGTGTTTATTATAAAGAAGCAGTGGGTTGTTTTATTGTTTTTGATGTTACACGAGGATCAACTTTCGAAGCAGTCACTAAATGGAAAACAGATTTGGATAATAAAGTTCAATTACCGGATGGAAATCCTGTACCGTGTGTATTACTTGCTAATAAAGTAGATTTTTATTCAAAATAAATTTCATAAAAAGCAAATATGTTCAATTTTATTTTATTTTTTCTTTATTTCAGTGTGATTTAGCTAAAGAAGGTTTAGTTAATAGTGCCCAACAAATGGATGAATTTTGTCAAACCAAAGGATTTGCTAATTGGTTTGAAACATCAGCGAAAGAAAATATAAATATTGAAGCATCAGCTCGATTTCTTATTAGCGAAGTAATTGATAGAATTTTTTTTTTTTGAATATTAATTTCAAGTTATTTTGATTTTATTTTTTTAAGATTATGAAACATACTGAACAATTACAACCACGTTCACCAGGTAGTTATGCACGCAGTGGTACACTTAATGTTCAGGATAAACCAGATGAAAAAACGAAAAATGAACGAAGATGTTGTGGTGGTGCTAGTGATTCTGGTGATAGCAAAAGTTAATTATGATTTTTCTTTTACAGATTTATTTTCTTTTGTATTGTATAACTTCGTGAAATAAAAATTCTTCGTAAACTGGAGACGGTTTTGTTTGCGATTAAATAAGCAAAAACAGAAAAAGAAAATGTATTTTCTTTTACAATATTGCTTTTATTTTTTATTCAAATTGTCTTGTATTGATTCAATGAAGATAACTTATTCAATGAAAAAAAGAAAATACAATTTATAATTCATGAGAAATATTACATGACTGATGTCATATCTGTCATAATCAATAAATCCAATCGAAAACAAATAAATATGGTAAAAATGCTTTTTTGGAGTTTATAATTTAGATATTAATCGACAGAGGGCTGCATGCATGCATATTAAGATAATATGTACTCTTGAAAAAATATAATACTCATTCAAATTTCTCTAAAGTTCACTCGTACTTTAAAGTACTGAAGTCTCGCTTTTTTTCCGTTGATCACCATTCACCAACATGTACTCTAGCATATGTACTATGACAACTGCATATATATGTAACATTGAAAACGTAAAATTCATATATTACATGTAACGGCATTATACTATCATGTACTGGCATACATTGAATTGATTGAGACCGAATTCATAGTTCAATGATTCCACTTTCATTCTTTGTAATCACTCTTCATGTAACAAAAACTAGTCGTATATGGACATGAGTTCACATAATAGCTTTGATATTTTTTTTTTTATCGGGAAAACAAATCTTCTTTTCAGTGATTAATCTTTTCTTTAGAAATGAAAATAAATTCTAAGTTAGTTTTTGGATATTTATAGGAATTGATGAGTGCCTAAACAAATCAATGTTTCTATTTTTCATGCTATGATTGCGTCATTTACAAACGACTTTTTCACTTTATTGTTTTCATTTGTTGAGCAACAATTTATATTGAGTTAACTTTTAATTTAATATTCCTCGTGAGAATTAACGAGGATAAGAACGAAAGATCTTGATCATCAACATCTAATAAAATTTTTGATATATTGAAGAAAAACAACAAATGATCTATTATGTGAAAAATATAAGATTCCTTTGATGATGATCGACAATGAAATTTTTGTTCCATTATCTTTTCTCCAGGATGGATGTTGATCATATCGATTCGAGAAATAACAATCTGAACATTAAAATTGTTATTGGTTTCAATCCAATGATGAAGTTTGGTTGATACATTTTTGTAATTTTCCATAGATTATCAAACATTGTTTCGTTCTTTTCCGATTGTCTTCATTTTTTTTATTCATCTGGATACTGAAAAAAATGATTAGCTGTCTTTCCAATGCATATTCTCGATTTTTGTATCATATGTAATGATCATTTGACTATTCTGTTAAGTAGCATTTTGAAATCCTTGAAAGTATTTGGAATATATAATCATTTGGGAACAAAGATCAAATTCTTAGCTTTTTTTCGAATATATCATGTATCTCAGTCGCGCGCTTAGATTTGAAATAAAAAACAATAATACCTACAGAAATATCGTCTCATTGACGGACTTTCGTCACTGCCAATCAATGGTATTCTTGGAGTTTAGTTGATTTTGTGTGTGCAAAACGACATCGATCACATTGTTTATGATGTATACGACATTTTGAGAATAAAAACTTTATTTTTTAATTTTTAACTAAGAGAAAAGTATTGAAATATACATAAGAAACTTTTGTGATATTGTAACAGGTTCTAATTCATTCTTATTGTTGTTATTGATATGCATGTTCATCATTAAAAAGACAGATCATGGCATAATTACAATATTAGCTAATGACAATAGAATTTTCTGATTCGATTGTTGTTTGTTTCCTTTGGTACTTGCCGTTGAAGAGACACATTATTGTGAAAGAAGTGAATTCGTAGCGGGAGAACAAAGATATTTTATGGTTCAGCAGACGATTGAGATACTTATGTGTTGGTGATGACAGTTTCAACTACAGCTGCATCTGAGAGATTGATTGTATTGATCATTTGAGAAAGTTTATTCATCGGAATCAATCTGATTCGAACCAAATATCACAAATGAGATCATTTGTTACTTAAAAAGTCATGAAGCGAGACAAGAATAAGATTAAATTAACTGTTTTATTCTAATTTTTCTTTTATAAAGACTAAAAAAAGAAATAATATCAGAAAGAAGATGACAGGAAAGTAACACTCTTTACTTCAATAATTAAATGACATACTCATTATGATGAATAACAGAAGTCATTCTAATGAACTCATACCGATTGATAATCGACAAAAAACAAAACAATTCTGATAAAATGTTAACCTTTTAAATAAAACATATTTTTATGTTGATTATTCTTGCAATGTACCTCATCGTTATATCCAGTAATCTATCGATAACTTACACAATACTTTTAAGTCTTAAGTCTTGTTGTTTTCATGTTGATCAGTGTACACAGAAAACTTGAACGTCATCATAATAACTTCACCCTTCTTTCGATTTTTTGCGCGTCATATTCAATGATGTTTTACACATCAAGTGAACGATAAACGAAAATATTTTCTTTAGTAGATCTCACAGAAAAAAAAATCAATCAGTTGCATTTTTTTTTCTTGGATTAGTTCTATCAAAATATCTTTGAAACACACATGACACGGACAACATATTTCGTTTCAAATATTATCAATAATGAGAGACAAATGAATAATAATTGATGTTCCCTTGAAATTAAAATTACATTGATAAATGTTTCATTCACTGTAATTTATGTCGGATTAGACGTCTTGCATATATATATATATATAAATCGGTTGATGATTTTAGACTTGTCATTTCGTTACCTGTATTCATTCCTTTCTCCAAGATATTCTTTCAGTTCCCGTTGGTCAGTTAAAATAAAAGCGATGATTTCATTTGCTGATTCGAAAAAATATTCATATCATACAAAAATAGAACGTAATGTTTGAACTTTCTATATGGATTATCATTTTAATAAAAGTTACACAGAATTTTTTTCCATGACACCTGCTATATTGATGTTTATCACGCAAAATATGTACGTCTGTTTCAATAAAACATATGGAATATAGAAGAAAGATTTTTATGCTCAGTCGGGGGTATTCAAGAATTGAACTATCGAACTATGTGAACTAGAAAAAAATGCATTAAGGTCATTGCACTCAGAAAAACAGGTACAAAAAACATTATTTTACCTTAATGTTCTAATAATTTATCGTTAATTTGAACTTCTTATTCTCAATATACAAAGAAACGAAGACTTAGATTTCATTTAATCGAAATTAAGAAAACTTAAAAATTATGTGAGAAAATTGAAATCTCGTCATGATTAATTGATAATTATAATCTTATTGGAAATAAATAACATAGAAATTGAATTAACTTTTCCTAATCGTTTTCTTATGAATTATTAGCGAGCGACAATCCAACAGAGTTCAAACAAAATCGTTTCATATGAAAATTTTTTATTATCGTTTAGCTCCAGATTGATGATGTGAATACGAATAAAAGAAAATCAATAGAAATAGACATAGACATAGACTTTCGTTTAGTCTATAATTAATCGTTCAAAATCGTTAGAATCAAATATTGTTTTATAGTTTAAAAGAGGTATTTTTCTCTAATTTATTAAAAAAAAAACAAATCTATTCTTTCGAAATATTTCGTGTTCATTCATCTTTTTCTATCTACTTATCTTTTCTACTAGCATCGCGTGCGAACGTTTCGCCTATCATTTCCTGCTGTGCTATGCGAATGCACACACTGCCAATGACATTATCGTCAACGAGAGCAAGAGAGAGACAATCATCCTATTAGATCGAAGACACATATATGTATATTCTTGTCGATCTTGTTTTTTTAATTAAACTAATTAAAGTCAGAAACAAACACGCAAATGAATCAGGTAAAACAAAAAAAAAGTAGCAATCACAAAATCTTTTCTGAATCATATGAACTATTACAGAAGTCGACTTGTTATTATAAATACATTTATTTCTATTCCTGATATCCAAATCAGAGATGTTGTGTATTTCTTTTGAATTGTTGTTTTTTTTCCGAAGATCTTATATAATTCTTTCGTTGACTAGAACATTTCTGTAATAAATAAACAACAAATACAATATTCCACACAATTTTGAAATCTGATTTACATTAAAATTACAGACAATGTTTATCCTATGTCCGCAAAAATTTTTATCTCTAAATGTTGAATCATAGTGGAAGTGAAAATATAACAATTTGAAGTAGTCAATTTTTGTTGTTTTTTTTCTACAATTATTCAAAAGAATTGAAACCATAGAAACAGAAAGAATACAAAACACGAATTACATTTTAATAACCAAAATTTTCTAAAAGCAAAATATCTATAAAGTAAAATATTTATTTTATGATAGAATTCCATGTGAAATTTTTATATAATGATTAAATTTTTCTTTCTAAATATTATATTCAAAAAAGATTTTTTAGAAAACTTTCAAAAATCTGTTATCTTATGTAACATCAGGCGTTCCTTCGAATATAATTTAATAAGAAAGTTATACTTAAAACAAAATTGTCCGAAAAATTGTGTCTAATATTGTATATAAAACAATACAAAGAAAAAGATAAAATTGTCATCACCTTAAAAAATTTTCTTTTATATTCAATAAAATGTGCCTGTCTAACTTTCCTTATTCATCATGAATAATTTTTTTCTACTTCTAATTCTATTCTTCTTCAACCAAGTATACGCTGTTATTAAAAATGAAAATATAAACGCATCTTTATGTTGGATAATTTTCGACTTTCTAACTAAAATATCACGAAATACTGGTAAATTTGAGAGAATCGGAATATTCTGCAATTTATCAATCATATTACTGAACATTTGTTTATACATCAATTACTGATACTTCAAATATGCTTGTTCATTCATCTATTAAATATATATATAATGCAATTAGATGAGTAATCTATGAGTCGACTTTTTCGGCCCATTCAAACTCATTGATTCATATCAATAGATCAGTTTAATTAATATTTCCTACTATTGATATCAAACCAAAGTTTAATAATTGAAATAGTAAAAGAAAAATAAATCCAAAGCATTTGCTAAGAATAATACATGACTATATTAATATATAGATATGCTGTACATAAATGACTAGTCAACAAAACAAAATATTACAATGTTTGAAATATAAGTTTATAAATCGCTGCTATCGCTTAATGGTGATAGATTTGTTCGAATTTCTTTTGATAATGTATTACTACGACGATATTTTGCACGAGCATTTTGAAACCAAACTTGTAAAACACGTTTAGGTAGATTTGTTTTGTCCGATAGATTTTTTAAATCTTTTGCATCTAATTCATAGAGAAAATATTCAAATTTCAAATGATTAAAAAAAGAAAAAACTAAAAATACAAAACCTGGATTATGATTTAAATTAAAATATGATCTCATACAACGTAATTGATGATGTTTAAAACTTGTTCGAAGACGTTTTTCTTTTTGATGATAAATTTTATTCGATGAATTATCATCTATTTCAATATAATATGATGAAGAAAATAATGTTGATGAAACTTTTAGAATATGTTCTTCATTTTCTTCTTGATAGATTTGTGTTTTACGTGTTTCATTTGGTGATGTATGATAACCTGAATCATCAAGAATTAAATGTGAATCGTATGAATCTCGATCAAAAAAATGATCACGACAATAAATAAGATTATTTCTTAGACCATAATCATCACCTTAAAAGAAAACATTTTTTTTGTTCATTTAATTATTCATATTTAAAGAAAACTTCAAACCTGGATGAAGAACAATATTACATATACTACATGTAAAACATTTCAAATGGAAAATTAATTGTTCAGAACGAAGTATTAATTCATCTTGTTGAATTATTCTATTACATCGTGTACAATTACGAGAACAATATTTTCTAAGGAAAAAAAGAATTTTTATAAAACAGAAAAAAAATACATAATCGACAAAACCTACTTAATATAATCATTTTTACAAAAAAATTGTCCTTGTCTAGAAAAACATGTTGATTCTTGTTCAAGTAATATACCACAATCAATACATTTTAAACATGATAAATGCCAACTACGATCAACAATCATTAAATAATACGGATCATCAATTAATGTGTGACATCCATAACATAACATTTTGTACTACGAGAAAAAAAAAATAAGAAAACTGAGTGAAAGAAAAGTGTTGAGATTTTTTTGTTTTTTCTTTATCAATAATTGTGATTGTTGCTCAGACACAACGTCTTGTCGAATGTCAAATAAGGATATTATTGATAATGATCGTTGGACACCGGTTGCTATTTAACGTTAACTTTACTTGTATTTGAACACTATGATATTCTATCTTTTCTTTTACGATTGAGAGAGAGGGAGAAGAAGGAAATCGCTTATCTATGAAAAATAAGTGAGACAACATTTTTTTTTCTTTATAAATAGAAAAAAACAGTGGGGACACTTGCTTATCTAAACAAATAGCATGATAGTGCGATTTAACATCAAATAAATAAGATCAATTCGAAGTTATGGATCATATTTTAATTTGTTCTCGTTACTATTCTTTGAAAACTTCTAAATATATTTTAAGATATTCACTTACCTTCTTTTCTTTTCTTTATATGATCTTAATTGAATTTCATCATGATAAGAAATTTAGTATTTTTATATCGACAACGAGTCAACTCCAACAGATATCTAATAACATTCAAATTTATAGTCGATCAAAATTATAATACATATTAAGAAGAGAAAAACTGTGAGAAGAAAATTTTGCCATTGGTGATTTTTTATTGAACAATCAAAAAAAAAAAAATCTTTCTCTCCCTCAGTGAAAAAGAAGTGACTTTTTTATTACATTTTTCTTACCACAGATTTGTAAAGTATAGCGATAGCGACTTTTGTGAAGATTTTTTTTTCCAGATATACATTAGTAGTGATCAATTATCTTACCTCTCTCTCTGTTAAATATATAGAATTATACCAATGTTACTATTAAATAAACTAAAAGGCAATCAAGATTGAGTTCATTATATTAGTTTACTTTTATTAGAAAAGAATCTCAACTTTTCTTAAATGTTTTTTTTTATAGTCTATTTATTGAAGAAATGATAATTCTTTATGACAAGATACATTTGTTGTGACTTATTTTTTCATATGGATGATATTTTTTTATTTTGATATAAGCAGTAATTGTATGATCATTGATGTCCGACATAGATCAGATTTTTGTGATCCGATCTGACCCAAGTCGGACTCTGATGCTTTCATTTCGTCGTTGGAAACAAACGATATTCATCATTATTCGATATTAATAAAGAAAAGTTGGCAAAGTAGAAGAAAGTATCGTGCAATACATAATATCTTGTTCTAATAAGCTTTTCCAAGCTCGCTCATAGAACTTTTAAACAAAAAAAACTTTCAGAATGTCTATTGTATCTTTACAATATTCAGACTTTGAATCCATCCGAAAATCGAAAAAGTTTTTTGTAACCCGACCTGACACGAGTTGGACACTGATAATCGCTCTCAAGAAACAATATTAGATCAGATTATATAAGAAAATGTACATCTTACGAGGAAACATTTCTAACTGATCAATCGTTTTCTCATCGAAAACTACTAAACAGTAAGCTATTGATCATACTAATTCCAAATAAGACTCTAAGCAATCCTCTTAAATATTCCTATGCTGGTTTTCTAGAAAACTATATTTTCAGACTCATAAGCTTTTTGTCGAAATTGCTTTGGATCTGTTCAGATTATAGGGCATATCGATTTATCCATAAGACAATAATCTTTTCTGCTTTTTAAATACCAATTTTAATCGAAATAGTGTTATCTTGATGATTCTCATATTGAAGTACTGATATGTATCTGTTGGATGAATAAAAATGACTGTATTTTCTGGAAAACAAACGATTTGAAACAAAAAAGTTACTCTTTCCTAGACGATTTTTTATGTTCTATAATCTTAATAGAGCAGCAACACGTTTTGGCGAAAATCTTGTTCTTCTGAAAAATTTCTTTTCTAAATTGTCGAATAATTTTTTTCTTAAATTACTAATACACTAAACAACAAAGGAAAAAAATTCTCATATTGTCACTTCCTATTTCTTTGACATCCATAATAAAGAAATCCATTACACAACGTTTGCATATGTTTTAATTGTTCTTATAAAAGTATTTGGTAATAAAACAGAGATGGGCAAGGCAGCTATTTTTTCACACAAGTCAAGTCAAGTCATTTCTGGAAGAGAATCAAGTCAAGTCAAGTCAAGTCATTGATAAAAATAAAAAGGGTTGAAGTCAAGTCAAGTCATTGCTTTGAAGTCCAATATCTCAAGTCAAGTCAAGTCTCAAGTCATTGACTTTTATTTTTTTAAGATTCATGATTTAATCATGTATCAATTTATTGAAAAAAAATTACACCAGTTNTGAACCCATATGCACTTTAGATCATATTGAAATTATAAGGAAGTATTGATAAGACTAGAAAAAGTCTCAAAAGGTTCGTACTCATGGATGTTTGATACCGAGTTAGAATTATTTTATTAGATTTTCGACCCAGCTTCAGATATATACTTATAAATAAAGAGAATAGAATTTCAACGTAAAATTTTGTCCATAGACAAGTCGAATGATCTATAGAATACTCTGAAAATTTCTAAAAATAATAAAGTTTTTTTTTTTTTTACTGAGATATTGAGCTTTCCGATAAACCCAGTTTTTGAATCATGCCAGTATCAAAGGATTATTTTTTACGACAATTCGATATCTTGATAAAAGAAGTTTTGTTTTTTTTCCTAGCAAAACTGAACGATTTCCTTCGTTTTTTCGCTCACCAAGTCTCTCAACGACGGTCTCTATCTCTGATTTTGGTAATTTTGAGACATATTTCTGACTAGATTTCACGTCGAAATCCTACATTTTTAACTTTTTTGTATATGTCTAAAATCAGTGACTGAAAGTTTGGCAGAAAATAGTTTCATTGTCGAAGTGCTAGAATTTATGACCGGTGGGAAGAACGAGACCCACAACGGACGATCTGCTACCAGGTCCTTTCCCCTTTCAATCCTATTCACATAACAACGTCGTTTTCTGCTTGTTTTTATGTCACTTTTTGCTACAGAAAGGTAAATGATCTTTCAAAATCCGGCTGCCGTCCAAAATTACCGCGGAACTGTAATAAAACTGGCACAAAGTTCAACATTTTAGAGAAAGTTCTCCTTCATCGTAATCAAGAACGCTGACCGAGAGGGCGACACACTTCCGCAGTATATATTTTGCTCTTGTAGAATCTATGGTTATTGTACTACCCCTGTATTGTTACTTCGAAAACTAATTGTTGGCTCTCTCGAAGTTCCATATCTCTTCTCCGGACGAGAAAACTTGAATAAAACACTGCAGTAAAATGACCCTAATTCGATTCGAAAGGCGTATGAAAATAAATCGTTTTAGGCTTTTTCTATTTTTACCACGAACTACTTCTCGACTAAAAAAGCAATTAATTAAACAGCAGTTTCAGTAAATTGTTCACCGAAAACTCATACTAATGTTCACTGATTTATCTGCCATATTCATACTTTATGGTTGTATCAACATTTCAATGAACGTCGATCCAGTATATCAGTAGACTCACTGAAACTGTACATCTGTAAACAAAAGGCATAAGTTCGGATGATTCTCTCGTCAGTCATTCTTATCGATTTTGTTTTTTCATGCATTTTGATTTTAATTATATTTGATAAAATGATTAATCAACTAAATTCTATAATTGATAAATTTTTTCGTAGGCTACAGGTTCAACAACAACATCATCAGGATACAATCAGGTAGATTTTCATCCAGAACAAGGACGTCGAATAATAACATCAGGATTAACTCAACAAATGACTGTTAATCAATCACCAGGAAAACATCGTGATGAAGTTCCACCATCATATCATCAAGTAACTAATACATCTTCTCCATCGCATGCTTATATTTATCAGGAACCAACTGAAGTTTAAGATATAATTTCAGTATTCTATCTATAGCAGATAATTTCTTTTTTTTTCCATCGATCTGTTGTGCAATGGCTTCTTCTTTTTTCGATGAATGAATCTCTTTTGTTTTAGCAGTTATGAATGTTTGTTTGCTTGTTTTTTTTCTTTTCTTGTATATATACATAGATTAATCAGATATAATGATCAATACTTTTATGTGTGTACATTCCGCATTATTCATTCAATCTCTTCCTTAAATGTTTTTGTTTTTCTTTTGTTATGAATTATGATATTCTATAAGAAATTCTTGTTTTTTTTTTTTTTTGTAATCGAATTTCTATAAATAACAACGCATATTTACACTAATTAAAATTTATACTAGTAAAAAAGTTTTTTGCTCATTATTAATAAATAAATTCTTATTCGAATTATATCGAAAAGGATTTCTAATGAATAATATATCGTTTTTCGATGAGAATATCATGAACAATAATTTATTCATTGTGTAATTATCTTTTATTATTATATTTTGGAATATTTGAATATAAATTAGTTATTTTTATGATATATGAAATACAGGGTGAGCCAAAAGTCATTTTATTGTATATGGAAAAATTTAATATCTTCGCTATAGTTTAACCAAATGGGCTGACGTTTTGTATTTATGATGAAGTAGTGTTTATATCCAAGAGAAAACGGTTGAAATAGATCCGTTTTGACGCATCAGTATTGGACGGACGTGGATGAAGACAAGACATTCACCCACACCCATTTCTGTTTCTATGCAGTCATGACTACTTGAACTTGATATTTATGTATACTTATTTAAGATTCTTTTTTTCTAGAGTCATTCAATAGATCTTTTATCTGTCATCTTCAGTTGATTGTGTTAGCTCTTTTTCGAGTTTATATAACTGTAAATGTAAAGAAACATAAGGATGTGTCCCTGGTTAAAGACAAGGCATTTCGCCGCATTGGTTTTTTTTTACTGCCCAACACTCTTTGGCTATCAGTAAAAAACTAGCCAATTTGGTCAAATTACCACGAAAATATTAAAGCTTATTGCATGATAAAATGACTTTCGGTCAACTCAATATATTCGACATTCTTTTCCTTAATAATCAATGAAATTTTTTTCTTGGAAGAAATTATTTATGTAATTGAATTTTGAATATATCTTAATAAAACTAATGACAGATGTTTTGCTTTTTTTTTTGCTTGCTTCAGATGAATTCATTTCCGTTAGGTCGTTGTAGTGTTAAAAATTCATCAGGAACTAAAATTCAATGTAATCGATGGGCTATTCTTATTTGTTCACATTGTAATCAAGGCGTATGTTTAGAACATCATGATATACATAAACATGAAGTTCAAATACGAACACATCAACTTAATAATCGAATAAATGATTTACGTCAAATATTACATACATTAACATATCAACAAATGATTGATAATTTTCAAGAAAAAATTGATCAATGGTCTAAAATATGTAAAAATAAGATTGATGTAAAACATGCACAAATGTCAGCTCAATTATCAAATGAAATTAAACAAATAAATATTGATCAATTTCGTTCAATACAATTAAATAATATTGAACAATATATTGGACAACCATTAACAGATCTTCTTCATTTACCCAATAATATTCAAATAAAACATATTGAATCATTAGAACAACAACTTGAACAAATTCAACAAACAATTAAAGATATATTCTCATGTCTTCAGATTACTGATGATGGGTAAAAATTTATTTTGAGGAAATCAAATTTTACATTATATTCGTTTATTAGCTTTTTTTTTTGTGAAATACGATCTGAAAGTGTTAAATTATATAGAACAGAAATCTATCCTTTCTTCCGATCACAGATAAGATTTTTACAAATCTCCAAAAAGAAAAATCATATTTAATATTTCTAAATATAGTGCGAAAAAAAGAAATAGAGTAATTTACCTATCAACAAGTTTCTAAACTTCAAATCTTGAATTTTCTCACTCAATCTTTTCAGACAAATCTTGTTTCTCTTCGAACAATAATCAAAAATATAAATTTAGTCTTTAGCAAACTATATATGATGGAAGTTTAATTCAAGTAAAATAGTTTTGATTGTGTTTCCTACAAAAAAAAAAAAAAAAAAAAAAACTGAAATATACTTCAATTAAAGAAATAAAAATGATAGTTCTTGAAACAACACTGTTCAATTATTTTAATAAGAGGAAACAAAATTTCTCTTAACAAAATTTATCAGGGAAAAATGGGATATCTATCAAATATTTTCCAATCAGTAAAAACCGACTGGTTCAACCATTTCAATCGGTTTGGATCAGTTGCAACTCTTTAGAATAAGAACTAATTAGTCCCCTATTGCATTTGTAGAGAATTAAGCAAAAGAATGTTGCAGAAATATGTCCTAAAGTATATAGAATAAAATAATCTCTCTATAATTAGCAACAACAATTGTGCTGTCTGTCACATTTTAATATTTCATAGATTACGCTAACAGCCTTTTTGTATCTTCTTTTTTCATCGACGCCATTTTTTTTCTGAGCACTATCGGAATATTATTTTTGCCTTAGAGAAAAAGACATAAACTAATTAATAATAATATAATATGATATTTTTAAAACGAACATTGCCATCAATAGAAAGACTAGAAAAACACTTTCGATCAGTGAACGTGGATGTAGATATTGGACTTCTCTATTACCATAACCAGATCGAACGGTTAGCGCCATCAATTTGATGTCTCGAATTCAAACTTATCTCTTGTGATTGATGAATTAAAGAAAGATTATCAATGTCTTTTGAATTATAAAATAATGTTCTGATTTTTATTTTTATAATAATTTTCTTCAATACAAAAATGGGATGAAACTGTTTTGTTTTTCTTATAGTCATTTAAAAGTAGATCAATCAACAATATTAATCAATAATTTTTCTACGCTATCATCACTTCATAAATATTCTCTAACTGATTGTCCAGGTGCAATGGCAGGTTCACCTCTTCATCATGATTATTTACTTATTTTTCAATCTGAACCACATTTTTCTCTTGTATTTATCGAAAATAATAAACATATAACTCGAACTCCAATTGATTATTTTGTTAATGATATATGTTGGTCTCAAACAACACAAGTTTTTCTTATTGCTACTGAATATTATCTTTATGAATTTTATCCATTAAATAATCGTCTATCACAACCATATGGAAATTCTAAATCTAGTCGAATATTATGGAGTTTAGCATGTCATTTAACAGACTTATATATAATACATAAACCTGATATGATTATGTATCAAAGAGATTTAAAAAAACCATTTGAAAAAAAAAGAGAATGGCTCAAGAATGATATTATGTGTGAAAATGGTGATCAATTTATTGGTTCTATACGTATTGATGAACAAAGACAAATTTGTAATTAATCGACATGTACTTAATTGAATAATAAGAAAATTATTGTTTATGTTTTTTATTCTAGTGGCATTATCAATAAAACAATATGATAATCGATGGCGTATTGATTTGTTTTCTATAGTTCTTATGCAACGTTTATACTGTGGATCATCATTTGGTGTATCAATTGACATAAATCCATTCTATTGTAAATGATTAGTTTATTTTAGATAATCGTATTTTGTATTTGAATGTATTTAGGTACAATAACACCATTACTTAATCATCATAATCAATGGTTAGTACAATATTCTACTAATGAAACTAATAAATGTGTAATACTTAATGAAAAAGCTCAAGTTATTAATCAAAATGATCATCGTAATGGATATAATGTTACACTTATTGATCGAAATAAAATAGCATTTTTAGATCACAATGGTATTGAAATTTATCAACGATAAATTTTAGTCAGATATATTTTGTTTTATGATATCAGATTTGTTTTTGTTTTTTATTGAAAATAAACGATTATTAACAAAGAAAAAAAACAAAAAACATTATCTTAACAAACTTCAGTTTCTTCATGTTGTTGTTTAAGTTCTTCATTTTGTTCTTTAATACTAGTTAAACCTTTTTGAATCCAATCAGAAAATGTTCCAATTAATTTCCATTCTGGTATATTATGAATAGCTAAATAAATTCTACCAGATCGAATACTTAATAAATATTGTTCAGCATAATCATCTAAACCTTGTCCAATAATTAATAATTCACAAGAAAGAGATTCAAATGTTTTATTATTAGTTAATTTATTATCATTGTTTTGTTTTGAAGTTTTTTCAAGATCTTTTAAATAAATATTTAAATGTTCTCGAACATCTTCATGTAAATTTTTATCAGTACAAATATTATCTTTATTTTCAAGACATTGAAATAAATCTTTCGCAAATTCATAATTATTTATTTCATATGGTTTCCATTCTGATATTGGTAAAAGATCAGTCGTTGGTAATCGATAACCTAATCCATAACCAATATGTTTTCGTCCATTATGAACTTTAATAACAGCTCGAATTTCTTTAGGTAAAGAAATTTTTAATTTTAATTCAATTTCTTTAATACATTCTTCATTTACACCAATTTCATTTTTATTTTGAAATTTTGGAAAATCTTCTAATTTTTTATTCAATTCATTCCATTGTTCTGTAGCAATTTTAATAAGATGATCATCATCATGATTAGTATCTCGATCTGTATGAGTCGATGAAGCCATTTTAAGGTTATGAAATAATATAATGCAGCTCAATATAGAACAAAACGATAATATTCGTAGTTGAATTATTAACCCTATAAGAAATGTATACAGAGGTCACTATCAGCAATTAGCCTTTGCATATCATGTCTTATACTGGTTTCTAAATGACAGATTTTGAAATTATAGAAATCAGTTGTTATAAAACATAGAGTATTTTTAACTCATTGATACTCATAAAATACGTTCATCGCTCGTTATTTTTTTCTCGAAAGATTGCGAGAATAGTGTAGAACTGATACGCATCAAAACACTGTGATTATTGTACTTGTTTAATAGAGAAAACAAATTGTTTTTCAAGTACTATCACTCAGACAAATGATAAAATACTTATTTTCA